CTGTGGGGTCCTGGTGGTGCCACGCCTCCTCCCCGTGGGAGCGAACATGGAGGTGGACACAGGTGCCGTGACCGTGTCACCCTCCTGGTTTGGCTGTTGCAGGGCCGGGTAAGGGGAGTGGAGACCCGCGTGTGCCATCACGTGAACCTACTCTTACTTCAAGATGGTTCTGAAATGGAGCCATTTGCCAGTTTTTAGGAAGAAAAGCCCTACCAAGTGTGCACCTGGATATGCATTTAAAGGTTTATTTTTATTGGAAAGGCAGATTTACAGAGAGGAGGAGAAGACGGAAAGATCTTCCATCTACTGGTTCACTCCCCAAGTGGCTGCAACAGCCAGAGCAAAACTGACCTGAAGCCAGGATTCAGGAGCTTCTTCTGGGTCTCCCACATGGGTGCAGGGTCCCAAGGCTTTGGGTCATCCTCTAGTGCTCTCTCAGGCCACAGGCAGAGAACTGGATGGGAAGTGGAGCAGCCAGGACTTGAACTGGTACCCCTATGGGATGGTGGCAGGCAGAGGCTTAGCGTGCTACACCACGGCATTGGCTCCCTGTATTTTGTTCTTGTGGTCTGCTCAGTTGGAACCCTAGGAAGTCCAGAGTGGGGGGCTGTCTCTGCCCCTCCATCTCCACCTTCTGGGGGTGAGGGACAAGTTTGAGAGGTGACCCTGTGTAGGCACCTTCAGATCAGAACAGTTCAGGGGACCTGCACCTTGAGCCCTGGCCATGGACCTGGCCCACAGGGCAGTACAGGCAGCCAGCATGGGCCAGGAGTTCAGAGTCAAAGCTCCAAGGCAGCAGTTTCATGGGGTCCCTCCGATCATGGGGATCCCCTAGTGCTAACTCTGTCAGCCCATCAGGAAATTCCCAAGCTTTTCCTCCGTTTGTGTTCCCTGCCAGGTGGAAGTACAGGACCTGCCTGTGCGGCTTGGGCAGGGGTCCCTCCCAGGAGACAGCTGCTGGTGGCCTGCTCGGGCCAGGCCCTCCTGCCGGTCCCTGCAGGCCTCTTGTGAAATGACACTTCCTCCGAGGCTGGCTGCTGCTTTTTGCCAAATAAGGCAATCCCTCGACAGGCAGGGGCAGGTGGGGGGTGGGCAGGCAGCCTCGAGCACGCTGAGCCTTACACAATCAACCAGGGGATGGGGCCACCTCCCACAGCATTAGAAGACCCAGAGCTTCGGCTGGGGAGACAGGGCAGGCGGGCGTGCAACGAAGCTGACCGCAAAACCCACCTCCTCCCAGGAGCCCCGGGTGTGGCCCACACCTGGCACCATGCCGGAAGCTGTGTGCACTGGGGTCACTGAGGGGAGGGCAGAGGTCAGAAGTTGCTGTTTTGGGGTGGTGCCTGCCTCCACTCCCATCCCAGCCTCAGCCCAGGGCTCCACCACAGGGGCTCCTGGACTTGGTCCCATGTTAGCCTCAGACAGCTTCCTCTAGGGTCAGGGTCGGGCCCCCTGTCCCAGCCTAGGGTGGAGGGTTGGCAGGCAGGTGGCATTGAGGGCACGTGGGAAAGAGGAGGTGTGTGTATTCCAGGCATGGTGGGAAAGTCAGGAGCCCAGAGCCGCTGCTGGCTTTCTCATGTGGGCAGCAGGGACCCAAGCACTGGGGCCATCTTCTGCTTTCCCGGTGCGTCCACAGGGAGCTGGGGAGGAAGTGGAGCAGATGGGACACGAGCCAGCATCCATTTGGGATGCTGGTATTGCAGATGGAGGCTTAAGCAGGTTCCCAGAGTTGCCTAAGGAGACGCGGTGCTCAAATGTCACCTGGTGTTCTGCAAGCAGCCACAGAGCAGGCCTGGGAGCAGGGGAGGAAAACCGAGGAAATCCTGGGGAAATGTGGTTCCCACAGTGCTCAGCACTGGGCGACCAGGGCAACTGGACGGTGTGAGCCGAGGGTGGGCCCGAGGGTCCCGTGGGAACACTGTGCCCTCCGCCCTGGGCTCACCTATGCAGTGGTTCTCAGCTAAAATCAAATTTAAACAGGAAGGTTGGCCTTGGGGCGACGGCGAGCGCCACCTTGTGGGCAGACGATGTGTGCGGTGTGGCGTCCTCCCTGGAGGAAGAGGCGGGCAGGGGGGCTTGGGGAAGGGAAGCACGCGTTTCCTGCCCTGTGAGGGTTCCCGTCCCGAAGAGGGAAATGTCCCATGGCGAATGAACGTGGGACTTGAGGTCTGTTTGTGCTTTTCCCGGTGTGGGGCAGGCGGCCTGGCTTCCTGCTGTCTCTGAATCTGCTCGCCCATCCTGCTTGCTGTCGGAAACCCAGGTCCCTGGTTGCATAGTCTGAAACCTGGGCGAGCGCACGTGGGCCTCAGCTGCAGGCAAAGCCTTCCTGTTCCCCTTGGAGCCTGCTGCGGGCCGGGGCTACCCTGCAGCTGCGGTCCGGCCCAGCCCTGTGTTGCCAGGTGAACTCTGGGTGGCGGATTAAATTTGCACATCAGAGCAGCAATGAGCAATGCTTAGGGCCTCAGCATGCCTCCCGCGGGGTGAGGAGTGAGCCTCTGGTGGTCTCCTCTGAGAACTGAGCCATGGAGCAGCGCCTGGTCCTCAGCCAAGTGGCAAGCAACCTGTACCGGGTTAGGGCAATGAGTTCTTGTCTGGCGCTAGAAAGAATTGAGACACATGACAGTGGCTTTCTTTCTAAACGACGCGGCTTGCTGTCCTTAGTCGTGGTGGCTGGACACTCAGACCCAGCTGCCTGCTGCTTTGCTCCATCCCGCACTAAGTTCTCTCAGCATCTCTGCTCCAGCCCCTTCCGGCAGCCTTCCATCCCATCTCTTCTCCTGGCACTGCCCCGTCTGCCTGAAGCTAGCCTTCTCAGGATGGTTCACGCCATGGGCATCTGTGGGAGGCGGCCCTTCTGTTGGGCGTCCCACTACTTCCTTGCCTTTTGCTTGCCGGGTACTGAGTCAGCGTAGGGTGAGGCTGCCTTTCACCCTCCGTGAGTTTGAATGCCCGTGTCCAGCTGCGGGTGCAGCACAGGATGGTGTCAGAGTGGGTGAGCCAAGTTTGCACTGGGGAGTACAGCTCTGGGGGCTGAGTGGCAAGGCCACGGCGGTGGTCCAGGCAGGGCAGGGCAGGGCAGGGCAAGGTGGCAGGACTCTGTCAGCCTTGCAACGTCCTCACATTGGCTCTGAAGCCCTGCGCTGTGCCCGCTGACACAGCGGTTGGCTCCCGCTCAGTGTCTCTCTCCTCAGGGCAGCCGGCGCGAGGGCAGAAGGTGCTGAGTCACTGCCTGGCTCTGCTGAGTCAGCATCTGGAGACCTCGCCAGGCTCCAGGCTTGCTCTGAATCGATTCTCACCTGCCTGGGGTGGGAGTAGGGAACACTCCGGCTCCTTCTCACAGGTGCCAGGCCCGCTGGCTGTGGGCTGACCCCACGGGCGGGGGTAGGACCTCAGAGGTCCACACCCAGGTCCCCCTCTCACTCTGCCAGGTGATTGCCAAGGAGTCCAGGCAGGCTCCCTCCCCTGGGGAAGGGCCCCCAGTGAAGAGAACCCAGGACTCTGGTTGAGGCAAGTGGATTTGGGAAGGACAACTTTGGAACGAGAAGGGCTAGCAGGCAGACAGCCTCAGCGTCCTTCCTGAGCCTGGCGCCGCCCACTAGCATCTGTGTGTCCCCTTTGCCCAGCCTCTTGTTCTCTTTCCTGGCTTTTTTCCACAGCCACATCCGCCATGGCCATTACTTCCCCTTCTTTAGTCCTCACCTCCAGTCGTGGAACAGACAAGATGCCATGGCTGGCTCACACCACCCTGCCCAGTGCCTGGCACCAAGCAGGTGTATGGCACACATCCGCTGACCTTGCAGACAGAGACCCTAGCCCGGCGGGCTGGATGCCCCCGGGGCTTGATCCTGCAGTCCAATGCCACTCTCCTTGCCCTAGGAGGCTCACCAGCTTCTGAGGATTTCAGAGGACCATGTGCTGGGTGACAGTGAGAGGGGGCCGTGCTCCGACAGGCTCAGAGCCGGATGAGGGGTGCAGGGCCCAGGCTGTGGTCCTCAGGAGCTGGCAGGGTCCCAGCGGTGGTCAGCACTATGCACCTGTGTAGCTGCACCCCTGGGGGCAGACCCAGGCTGCTTCTGCATCACCGGCCCTGCCATCCCCCACGGTGTGCACAGGTGCCTCCCCACTGCGGAGTTTCTGCGAACCGACAATTTACAGAGCTGAGCTCTTGGGGGGTGGGTCAGCAGGCCACGGGGGCACAGGGGTCCCTGACAAGTGTCACTCCTCATGAAGAATGTAACTGGATCTCTGCCCAGCACTCCATCGGCTCAAGGGAGACAGGGCAGTGACTGTACACCAGTCTGGGGCACAGGGTCTGTGTGGAGATGCTGAGAACCAAGTGCACATTGCAGGTCAGGGTCCCGGCCAGGAAACCAATGGATGTGCAGGCTTGGGAGTGAGCTGAGTGGCCAGCAGGAATCCAAGTCACAAGAGAGGATGTGATGAGGGAGGGACGTGGTGGAGGTGGGGACAGAGGGAGCAGACCTGGGAGGCTGACCACAGAGGGGCACCCCAGAAGCCCAGGAGAGAGGTGCTAAGGGGAGCAGGGGACCCTGTGTGTGGCACATGTACGGCGGCTCCGACAGGGGTCAGGAGTGGACAGGCCTGGGCTGAAGCAGGGATGGAGCCTCAGGGGAAGGGAAGGCGGCCATGGGGTGTGTAGGGGTGGCCCGAAGCTCCAGGGTATCCGCTCACTCCCATCGCTGCAATGAGGGTGTCACAGGGTACAGACCATGGGCTGCCCAGGCCCGGCAGCAGAGGCTGGCTGCCCCCTGTCTCATTGCCCCCCTAGGTAGCCTTCTGGCATGGTTCAGCCTCTCCCAGCTGCTGTTTAGCCCACAGCCCGGGCCCCTGCTAGCCCAGGGCCGGCCTCCTCTGAGACCCCAGCTGCCCCCATCCCTGCACGTTGGCGGGCGCCTGGCTCCGCCCCTTCCCGCCAGGGCCGGCCCACTCCCCATGAGGACCTCGCCATTGGACAACTTCTCACTAAGGCTCCGCCCCAGGCTTCTGCTTCTGTGATTGGGCCAAGGGACCGTCCATCAACGTTGTCGCCTGGGAACTGGGCAGAGGCGGCTCCCAGGGGAAAATCCTTGCCACTGCCGGACCGGAAGGTGGGACTGCGTCGGGGCTGGCGCCGGAGCCGTTGGTGAGCTGGACGCTGGACGGGAGGCAGCAGCCGGGCGGGCAGCAGGCGTGGCCCCCGTGGGCGTTGGAGCAGGCTCTGCTCCAGCCCCGCTGTCCATGGCGCTGTGTGCCCAGGGCAGAGGGCCACTGGGGGCCGGTGACAGCCGGAAGGGAGGGAGGAGTCACTCAGAGGCGCCCCTTCCTGTCACCTGGTGGTGTGGTCTGATGAGGAGGGTGCCTGCCTCGGGTCTCCCCTTAAGGAAGGAGGCGGGGCGGGGGAGGGTCCCCTCTTGGATTCCGCCTGCCACCCGGGCTTTTCTCAGCCGAAGGGAGAGGAAGGCGAGCGCCCCTAGACCAGCTCCCCTCCGCTGAGTGACTGAGGGGGCTGGGAGGGAAGGGGTGGTGGTCCCTGCGGGTCACACCCGAGGTGGACACTGAGAGCCACGCCTGTGGTTTGGAAGGAGGTGGCCACATGGGCAGGGGTTGGAGGGCAGAGTGACCCCAAGAGGCTCTGAGCAGGGTCCCGTGGGAGCTGAGAACTGCTGCTCTTCCAAGCGGGAAATGGGGGACCACCTCGGCTGCCTCTGGCTTCCAGGGGTGATGGATTTAGGGCCCTTGGGGAGTGGAATTCCCAGTGCGGGAAAGAGTTTGGGCCTGAGAGTGCTTGGGTAAGGCGAGCGAGGAGTCGTGGGCACACCAGGTTTTTCAGGGTATGTGGCGGGTTGGCTGGGAGCCTGGCTGAGCTGACTCAGGCAGAGGCTTGGCTGCCTCACTGCGCTGTGGGAATCTTCTGCTCACTTGAATGCTGAACATGGTCATTTGCTCCTAAAACTCAATCTCTCTGCTTCCACTGCAGGTTAGTGCCTCTCTGGCCTCTGCCCGCTGGGTGCCCACAGGTCTGCCCCCCGTGGCAACCACCACTGGTCACCAGCAGGAGTACAGGACTGCCCCCTCCGAGACCCACAGGTGCAGCAGCCTTTAGTGTGTTCCTAGAATCCACAGGGGTGGGCCTCCAGAAGGCCTGGGCCAGAGCACACCGGCCAGCACGAGACTGTCCTCAGCTGTGTCCGTGAGAATCCTGTCATGGAAGAGCCTTGTCGGGGGCTGCAAGTCTGGTGGCCCGAGTTTGGGGAGGAACAGGGGGAGACACAGGCTTCTGGTCCCCTGATGGGGCCCGCCCTGTCACCATGCGTGCCTCTCATGGGGCTCTCCACCCCACCCCACTCCTCTCCTGCTCATTTCTGTCCTCCCAACTGGTGGCTTGCAGGAGCTCGGCTCAAATTTGGCTCTTGCTGACCCCAGGTTCCCCCCAAGGCCTGTGTGTGCTGTGGACCTGCCAGAATGTGTCCCTGGGAGGGGATTTCCTGATCTGGTTGTGCTCCCCAGCCACTCCGGTCCCTGCATCCCTCACCCCTGTCTGCCCAATCAGGACCTAATTCCAGGATTCCAGGATGGGCCCCTTCTGTGGCTATGGGAGTCAGGTGTGGGTGCTGGGTAAGGCCCTGCAGGGCATGGCCCCTCAGTCCCCCTCTGCTGGGCCAGACCCTCACCCTGCTGCTTTCTGAGTGAGTGTCCTCATGAGGCCCTGCCCTGCAGGAGTAGGCTGGGGCCTCTGCGTGGTGTGGCCCTGCAGCCTTGGTGGCTCTCTGCCCAGGCTGCACTCCTCTGAGCAGGAGGAAGCTGTCTTTGCACCTTGCCGGGGGAGGGGTCTGTGATGATATCGCCAGCAGGCCCACTTGCTTCTCCAGTTGGGGGGCGGCCATTCTACATGCACACCAGGCAGGCCCTGTGGGCTGTGCAGACCTGGAGCCCGTCCCTAGTCGGGGTGGGCAGTGTGTGTGCCGCAGGAGGCAGCAGCCCTCATGACTCCTGATGCAGGGAGCAGGAATGTGGCCTGGGCTGGGCTGGCCTGGCACTGGCTCGCGGGCACACACGGGTCCCCGTGCCTGAGGCCCAAATGCCAGGAAGGGCCCATTCTGTGGCTGTGGGAGCTGGGTATGGGTGCTGTGTATGCCCTTAGGAGGTAGTGCCGTAATAGTGGTTGCAGGTGGACTGTGGGGGCACCTTGGGCCCTGGGGACAGTAGGGAGTGCCAAGTAGTGTGAGGGGTGCCGGGCGGCGGGGGCGAGTGCTCTGCTTTGGAGGCCGAGCCGAGAACTGTTTTTTGTACACACTACACTCACACATATTTAGAAAACAAACTTGCATTTCCCTGGGCAGAGGAGCAAGCCAGGAAGCTCAGGACATGTTTGGCCAGTGCTGTGGTGGCTGACTGGTGACACACGAAGCCATGACCTTCACGGCACCCAGGTCACATGCAGCTTGTCTCTTGGGTCTGTCCTTTCCTGCTGGCCAGTGGGCAGGTGGCCCTCAGAGCAGCAGGGTCACCTGGGGTTCCTGCAAAGCAGAAGTGTCTGTGACCCGGAAGGCAAAAGCAAGACCTCCACGCCAGCCCCGGATGCACTCTCTCATCCCTGGTTCATGTGAATAACGCCTTGCCTTCCCCTCGTAGCCAGGCCTGCTGTGTCTTGGGTCAAAACGACCATGTCAGGTCGTGGTCACAGACCAATGCAGAGCAAACACTCCCCAGGCCACTGAGCTGAGCACCAGTCCCTTCGGGGAGCTTGGTGTTGGGGGCTCCGGTTCTGGGGGTGTGTGAGTGAGCAGGAGATGAGGGCACGGGACTGGCAAGCCATCGGAACATGGCATTGTCCCCAGGAGGATTGGACACGGACGGCCACGTGACCCAGGGAGGCCACTGCCATTCCCATATTGAGACAGGGGGGACCTTGAACACAAGAGTCCCCTGTAGCACTGTCATGAGGGCCACAGGAGGAGGCTGCTGGCTGTCCAGCAGGTAATAAGGAGGTATGTGTGTGTGTGTGTGTGTGTGGCGTGTCAGTTGGGAGGAGAGACGTTCTGATGCTTGCCACAGCCGAGGTGGCCCAGGTGGCCCAGGCGGCCCAGGTGGCTACTGCCACTCCCTCTGCTCAGGCAGACGAAGCTTGCCTGCCTCACCACCCAGGCAGGTTGACACCAGCATGTGGCCTGGGCTCACTTGGTTCAGTTGTCACAACACCTCGTCCCCCCACCACACCCCCTGAGGCAGGGCTGTGATGCTTGCATTTCACAAATGGGCCAACTGAGGCAGAGGATTCCAGCAGCTTGCCCAGGACTGCATGCCTGGTAGCCAGAATCAAGAGCGTGAAGGGAAACGGTCTCAGATAGTGCGTCTTGCTTAAATGGGTGGGAAGATGGAGTCCCACTGATAGCTCGGTTACGGGCGACCTGGGAGCTAGGATTTCAGGCACAGAAACCTGACCTGACTGGCTGCTTCCCTGTTTGGGGGATCCTGGGGTGGATCCCCCAGGATCACCCGCTGGACATGCATGGATGTGGAATCCCCCTGCCCCGTCACACTGCGACAGTGGTGGTTGCAACAAGGTGCAGCTGTGTTTGCCGATGAAGAGGTTCATGAACTGCTGCCGTTGTGTGGGTCGCACCCTGACTTCTCACTGCCCCTGCATCTTCTCCCTCTGCAGGGGATCCCGCTGCACCAGAGCCCAGATGGGCAACAGCAGGAGCCATGCGGGGCCAAGGCTCTGCCCACGGTTCCTTCCCCAGGAGCAGGCTGAAATTGACAAGTTGTTTGATGCTCTGACGGCGGGCCAAGGCGGCCGCACAGGTGTCCCAGCCCAAGCCTTCTCCTTGCAGGCACTGAAGGCAAGAGTGGCAGCTGCTGTGGGTGGGAGTGGGGTCTGTGCATGGTGGTCCCTGAGTTGAGATGGGTATGTGGGCGAGTTTGCTGTATGCAAGGGGCTGGGGGTACATGTCAGTGTCCTGGTGGTCTCTGTGCCTGCAGCTGTTGCCAGGACAAGCTAAATACCCTTTCCCCTTCAGAATCAGTAGAGTGAGGGAACTGGGATTCAATAGTCGTTTGACGTGATGTTTGGAGAGCATTGGCCCTTGGGACTGACACCAGGGGACAGACTAGAGAGTGGGGTGGCCTGCGTGGCATTCACAGGTCAGCTGGCCAGGTTGTTTGGAAGGCACCTTTGCCTCTGGCAGCTCAGAACAAGCAGATCCTGAACTCCAGGTTCCTCTTAGAAGGAGTTGAAGTTTGCCTTTTGCCCGTTTCCCTGGGGACTCTTAAGGCAGGTCTCGGGGCCCAGAGTGAGGGGGCATCCAGGCAGAGCGGCAGTACCTGTTGGGAAGTGGGGGGCCTGCTGCCAATGCTGCATGTGCGTGGGGCAGGGGGTGGTCAAATGCGTGCAGTTGTGTGCCTGTGTCTGCCTACCCAGAAGCTCCCCTGCTGGCCGAGGTGGCCTCAGCGGACAGGGGACTGCAGTCCTGGCTGGCAGGTGGCTGCAGCATTCCCCAGCCTCACCAAGAGACTTGTAGTTAGGCGCTGATTGGAGCAAACCCACCAGGTCCTCTCTGGGGGAGAGTACAAGGGCTTTCTGGTGGTTCTAGGGTCACCTGCAAACGGCATTTTCTGAGGGGTGAAGCCTGCCTTGAGGGGTCAGGGGACATGGGCACTGTTACTGTGACTGCCAGGATGGCATGCAGCTCTCAGACCCTCCGCTGCCAAGTCTGTGCTCTTGTTCCTAGCTGGCACTCCCCTCCACTTCCTGTAATCCGGGATGAGAACAGAGTTGACACTGGAGGGAAAAACAGTATTCAGAGACTAACTGACGAGGCATTACCAAGCCTGATGGTGCAGCTGCTTGGAGCGCCCACGGCTGTGTTGGGGTGCCTGGGATCAAATCCCACCTTTCCTTGTGATTCAGCTTCCTGCTAATGCACCCCGGGAGGCGTTGCTCAAATACTGGGAAGTACTTGAACCCCTTGCCTTGCACAGGAGAGCTCCCAGCTCCTGGCTGCCGCCTGGCACAGCCCTGACTGTCATGGGCATTTGTTGGGGGGCGGGGACAGCAGATGAAGAATTCTTTCTAGTTCTCTGCCTTCCTAAGAATAAGCAAGTAGACATATCTTTTTATTAAAAGATTTAAAACAACTAAAAGTTAATTTAAAATACACACTGAGCATGCAGGACTTGGACCAAGCGTTTGGCAGTGCATGTTAGACCCCTCGGCCGTGCACAGGGACCCACGTCACCTGTGCTCACACCCTCAGACGTACACATGGCAGCTATGAGGACCCAGGGTGAAGAGGGCACGTGGCCAACTCGGGGAGAGCAGAATGTGTGTAGGGCAGGGAGGCAGTGCATGAAAGGGGCTGAGGGGCCAACGTGGGCCGTGATCAGGATGGGGTGCGGGGGCTGGGGTTCAGGAGCTGCTGGCTGTGCCCCTGCTTGTGTTTCCCCTGGCACCACCAAGCGAGCCTACGCCCGCCCCACCTCCTCTCCTGCTTGTCTCCCACAGAGCTACCTTGGGCAAGCACTGCCCGCACACATGGTGGCCAGGCTGTATGATGGCATGCGGGGGGTCGACCCGGCCAGAAAGGCACAGGTGCCCAGTGAGAGCGTCTCCCGGGAGCAGTTTGTGCTGGCCATGTCACACCTATTGAAGGGAGACGCCACCGAGAGGAGCGCCCTGATTCTGAAAATGATCTCCAAGACAGGTGGCCCAGTGAGAGCCCACGAAGTACAAAGGGTAGGTAGGGGCTGCAAGACCCTCACAGGCTTTCCTGGGGAGGGCTGATGGAGACAGGCACCATGGGGAACCCTGAAACGCATGACAGGCGCTTTGCAAAACTCCCAGAGTAACAGAGCATGGTGTTAGAAACCCAAGTAGCCGGCTGGGGTCTGTTGTGCAGAAACTAGCCCTGCAGGCCTGGGGCCACAACTGCTTTGTCCCTGATGACGAGTTGTGCTCTTGAAGTTCACAGAGGACCTGGTGGGCTCCGTGGCGCACGTGCTGGCCCACAGGCAGGAGCTGAGAGGCTGGCTGGCCAAGACCCCCGTAACTGCATCGCCCAGGGTGCAGGCGCTGGCCACGCAGCTACTATCCGAGATGAGACTTCCAGGCAAGTACCTTCGTGTCCCTGGGGGTGACGTGGATCCCTGGCCCTGTGCAGCGGCTTCTGCCATCCCAGTATTCCTGTGGATTCAGGATGCAGGGGTGCTGTGGGCAGGAGTGGACCCCCCACCCTGCCTCTCCCGGTTCCTGATGGCTGCTCATAACCCATCTCATTTCTGCACGGGTGTACTGAGGTCTCCTCCTGTTTCCATTTGGGACGTTTGAGTCCATCTGTCCCACCCCACCCCCGCCCTGGTCGGTCTGGCTCTGGGTGTCCCATTGTTGACCAGCATTTGGGTTTTTAATTCCCTCTGCTTGCTTCTGGTTTCTGTTGGTCTTTTCCTGTCTGAAGGTTGACGTTTCGCTTGCCTGTCCGAGGTCTCACTGTTTTCCCTGCCATGGCTGTGTTGCCCTCTGAGCAGAGCTGTGGCCGCCTCCCCGCTTGTCTTGGCGTGTTGGCTGTTTTCTCTGTCAGCCCCGGGCCTGCTGACGATCCTCTGTGCCTTGTTCGCCCTGCTGGCCGTTTAGAAATGAGCTATTTAATTTGTCCATGCCTGGGATTTTATCAAATTGGCTTTTGTTATCAGTTTATAATTTTATTCCATTAGGAGGACATGCTTTGTAGGTTTTCCTTGAAGCTCTGCAAAGCGGTGTATTGTTTATTGAAAAGAGCCTATTTTGCTATTCGAGGAGGACTAGTGTATATTTAAATATAACAGGAATTTAAAAAATTATGATAAGTCCTTTGGCAGGCATGGTAAACTTACTTTATCAATGAGTTATTGTTTTAATGTGAGGCCAGATGGTAAAAATATAAGTTGAAAATAAGTTATATTTCAAAAATATAGGTGAGAAATTTGGAACTGGAACAGAATAAAGCCATATTAGTGTGAGTGGTTTATGGGCAAACTGCTCTCCTTCTTCTAAAGTTAATATTGTACAAGGAGCCGTAAAAACAACCCTTACATTGACTCCTAAGGTGAGCCAGTTAAGTAACGGTGCAAGGAGAAATGGAAGGTTCTGGAGAAGGGACAGGGATGGGAATTCTGAGGGGTTTCCTGGTGAGCAGGTGAGTCTGGGTGGGAGGTGGCATCGCTGCTCAGCCTAAAGCCAGAGTCCCACAGGCTGGGAAGAGCAGGAGCTGCCCACTGAGCCGTGTCTGTGCCGGCAAGTGCCTTGTGTCCGTGGCTGTGTCAGTCCTAGGACGTCACTGTCCTCTTGGTAGGCTCCAACCCAGCTGGGGTAACCGGAACCAGCCACACTGGTGGCTGAAGCAAGGCCGAGATTTCCTGGTTAGGTTCCAGGCAGCAGCCTGGCCTGCAGGGGGCGCCCTTCCAACAGCAGAAGCTGGCTGCTCTGGGTGCAGCCTTCGAGGTGCTGGTGTTGGGGGGACTCTGGCTGGAACCCCCTTGCGAGGACCTGTCCGGGAGCCTGTGCCTTGCAGCCAGGAGAGGGGAGGAGAGTGCCTTGGGTGTCGGTGTTGCCTCTACAACCCCAAGTCTCACAGCCGTGGGAAGAAGGCAAAAGGAGATGAGTGAGGTTCACTTGAGTGCACTGCAGGGGACATTTAAACATGTCCTCAAAAAAAAATCTCACCAGCTCCCTTCTGAGCTACTTTGCATACTGGGTCTCGGAGAAGGGTCCATATTGCACAAAGGCAGGCCACCTTCCCTGTCTCCGTGGCCAGGGGAGGAGTGTGTGGTCCCGACCTGGTCAACACAGCTGTGGGCAGCAGTGCACAGCCACCATGAAGGGACGCCCGGTGGCTCTCGCTAACCCTGACTCCACCTTCTGCAGGCGGTGAGGTATTCCTGAGTCCTCAGTGGCTGGACCGTGACTGCGACCACGCCGTGCTGGAGGACTGGGTGTCCAGGGTACCCCACGTGGCCACGTTTCTGAGCGTGGTTGTCCACAGAGGCTTTCTCCCCCGGAGCTCACCTCTCCCTCTGGCCACGCTGGTGCCCAAGCGCATCATGGACCCAGGGCAGGACTTTGAGAGCGTGCTGGATGTCCTATCGGTCATCTACATCAACTCGCACCTGCCCAGGGAGCAGCAACACTGCTGGCGGCTGCTCTTCTCCTCCCAGCTCCACGGGCACAGCTTCTCGCAGCTGTGTGGGCGCATGACACAGCGAGGGCCCTGCGTGACCCTGCTTGAGGACCACGATGGCCACGTGTTTGGTGGCTTTGCCTCTTGCTCCTGGGAGGTGAAGCCTCAATTCCAAGGTGAGCCACTGTGTGCCAGCTGCTGCCACCATGGTGGGCTGGCTGCTGCCTTGGTGCCTCGGGTGCTGACTGTACCTGCTGGTGCTGAGCAGGGCCACCCCCCAGCCACCTCCATTGGCATCTTGCCACACAGGTGTAGTGAGATGCTGTACTGCTCTCTGTGGCCTCAGGTGCCAACAGCTCCTGTGCTTGGGTGCTGAGAAGTGTCAGCTTGGCCCTGGACTCTGGGGTGCGGACCAGCTGCCTGCCTCCTCTCTGTGTGCCTGGGGGCCCCTGCTGCAGGTGGGAGCGTCAGGAGCACACACACAATGCCTGCTCCTGGCTGCACACGACCTCATGACTGCACCTGTGGTACCCGAGTGTTCTATTCCCAAGTAGGCGTAATTTTGCCTGATGACACGGAGAGATGCGATCAGCCCCGAGTTTCTGATCCGTCCTTTTCTGGGTTGTGAGCACAGAGTGTGGGAAGTGGGCAGCATCGTGTGTGGACTGTGTCCACCTGTGGCCCTGGGTCCCTGTTTGCAGCATTGTGTGTGTTCATCCCAGATAGAGCTCCGGCATTGGAGACGCTGTGTGGTTCAGCAGCTGCAGCCGTGTCTTGATCTTGGTTGTTTCCCGTGAGGCCATTCTGGCGGGTTCTCGCCGCTGCATCCTGATCTCAGGGGCCAGCTGGTTCCTGTCTCTTGACCTTGACCACCACGGAGCTCTCTGGATGTAGTCTGCAGGTGTATAGGCCTCACTGTGGCAGGATGGACCCTGTCTGCTTGTTCAGCACTGTCCTTTCCCTGAGCCGCTTCACTGCCATCCTTGCTGCACCTGTACTCCCAGGGTGTGCTGTGACAGCCCATTCTGCTTAGAGCATCCTTCACAGCTTGCCCTGACCTTGTGTCCAGCAGGTGGTCCCCTGGGCCATGAGCTCAGATGGCTGTGGGGTCCCTGGTGCTGAGCGTCCTCAGAGGACACGAGGTTGCCCAGGACTTTGGACCCTGGGCATTGTTAGGGTTCTGCTGGCACCTTTCTGTCAGTGGACTGTGTGCCCACACCTGTCTGTGCCTCGGTGTCGCTCGGCCTCTGTGCGTTCCTTTGGGCAGTTGGGGTGCCCAGCTGCGCAGGCCCTGTGCTGCCTGCTGTTTGTGCTGGGGTGTGCTTGGCTGGCATGCACCACTTCCGGCAGAGTCTAGAGCCCTGATCTCCATGCCCCACCTTCCCCCCGCCCCCAGCCAGAGCCCAAAGACCTGCCCCCCCAGGGAGATGTTGCTCTCCCGATGGCCACTGCACTGGCTCCCGCACCCCGAGTCCACTTATCTGTTGTCCTGCGAAGCATGGCAGGTGTGGGATAGTCGTGATCCCTAGGCTGCAGCTCGAGGCTCTCCACACAGACCCTGCCCATGGATCTTGTTCACTGGTCACTTTCAGGGGACAACAGGTGCTTCCTGTTCTCCATCTGCCCCAGCATGGCAGTGTACACACACAGCGGCTACAACGACCACTACATGTACCTGAACCACAGCCAGCAGACCATTCCCAACGGACTGGTAAGGCTGTGCACAAGCTCTGCCCACGTCCTCGGTGCATGCCAGGAGCATGACCGCCAGGGTAGGGTGCCCGTTCGGGGACATGGCCTCTGTGGAGCTTCCAGGGGTTATCCCTCTTCCTGATTCTCAGAAGATAGATCTGTGGTTTAGAAGGTGTCGGTGGCAGGCCTGTCTCCAGTTGTCTGGCCACAGCTTGGGGCATGAAGCAGGGTGCGGCTATCCTGGGCTGGGGTCATCTGGGGGTAACTCCGGAGGTGGCAGGTGGGGCTGCAGCTGGGGTGGGCATGGCTCTGGTCTGGGCTTCCCCTCCACTTGGTGGCTGAGTCATGGGATGAAGAGGGTGAAAGCCAGGGCCTTGCGGGGGCTGAGGAGAGGGACTAGGCACCAAAGATGCTGACTTTTTGACAAATAGCTCTTCCAACTTTGCACTGAGCTGGCAGGGGATGCTGGGCGTCCTGCTGTCACCCGGGAGGTCCTGGGCTATGGGAGTGGAAAGGCCAGGCTACCTTTGGCCACCACATACCCTCTCAGGAGCATGGGGTTTCCAGCCTCAGAGCAGAACCTGGAGTGCCCAATCATGGGCAGTCATGGAGCTGGCAACAGGGTGCTGGCAAGCTGCCCCTGTGCACAGTCTTGCTGCACCCATCAGAACCCGCTGGGGACCAGGGAGGTTCCATGGAAGGAGGATGGAGACTGCACGTGCATGCTTGCCTTGGCTCAGTGTGAGCAGTGGCCACTTCCTCATCTGCTCACAGCCTGCACGCCCTGAGCTCACTCCAGCCTGTGCAAGGAGGACCATGCCTACTGGGGCAGCTTGCCCGGTCTGAGTCCTGGCGGTCATCGTGCCTTGGGCCCTGACAAATGGTCCTTCCTGTGGCACCCCTATGTCCCTCTCTGTTAAGGCACGAAGGGAAGCTGTGTCCTCCTCTGGCCCACCCCGTCTGGTTCAGTACCGAGGGCAAGATGTGGGTGACACCTTTCTCGATTGTCACTTCCTTTGCAGGGCATGGGAGGGCAGCACCACTACTTTGGGCTCTGGGTGGATGCCGATTTTGGGAAGGGACACAGCAAAGCCAAGCCGACGTGCACCACGTACAACAGCCCACAGCTGTCTGCCCAGGAGGAATTCCGGTTTGACAAGATGGAGGTGTGGGCAGTCGGAGAGTCCGAGGAGTCACTGCTGGTGAGTGGTGGGACCCAGGGCTTCTCTCGACTTCCCCAGGTTTCCCCTGCGTGTTCCTCCCTCTGGAGTGGCTTTGTTCCGGGTCGGCTTCTGGTACAGGACGCAGGGTAGCTTAGCGCAACAGCCATGGGCAATGGCAAGGCATGTAGGCATCCCTTTACTCTGTGCCCATTTGCAAGGCGAGGAGGAGGGCCCAGGGGTCTGCCTGGCCCCTGCCAGGGATGGCCTTCGGGGTGGGTGGGGCGTTGGTGCTGGAGCCCACCTGGTTCCTTGGGGTACGGGATGAGCATGGACAGTTCTGCAAAGTTGGTGGGGGGGCACTAGCAGGAACCACTGCCTATCCCTGGTTCTTGGGGATCCACTCCTCCCTCTCTGCCTGGCCCCCTCCATCACCCCTTCTCCTCTCCTGCCCCAGGCCACGAGCAAGAAGAGCATCCTGGATGTGGATCCCGAGGCGCAGGCCCTGCTGGAGATCAGTGGGCGAGCCCGGCACAGTGAGGGGCTCCGGGAAGTCCCTGACTGTGACCAGTGAGCAGGGGCCTCTGCATGGAGCTGGACACAGACTCCCCTCCTCTCACTCTGGTTGAATTTGAATGTGGAGCCCCCCAGGGTCATGGCCAGACCACCCCAAAAGTGCCTGAACAGAACACACAATGGCATCAGAATTCTTATACCATTGGGGACTGTCACCCAGAAGTGCCACCTGCCACAGTAGCTACTTGGTTGAGTGTCAGTGAAGTGTGAAGGCGCTGCTGCATTGGAGTCCGTGGCTGGCCCTGGACTAAGTGCCTATAGAACTGAGGTCTGAGCCCGCTGCTGATCACTCAGCCCCTGCTGCGACCGTCGCCCAAGCCCTGGGAAGCTGGTCCGTATGGAAGACAGGAATTGGAGTGGCCTTGGCAACGGCTCCTGCTGGCCTGGAAACCCTGCTGTGTGACTGTTTACACATCGGGCAGGGCCATTGTGTGAGGGACAGAGGCCGGAGCCTCAGCAGACACCGTGGACTCAGAGGGTGTGGACCTCAAGTAGGGCTTTGTACTGTACTTCCGCATCCACTGTGCTTACGGGGCCTGGGCCACCACCCACGTGGGAAGACAAGCTGTGCCCACAGACAGCTGGCCGAGCTTCATTCTGATGCTGACTTTGACATGGGGCCCTTCAGGGGGTCTACAGGCAGGAGCCCTGGCTCGTGTGCACACAGTGGGGCCGGTCAGCACTGCCACTTGCCTGGAGCAGCTCGCTCGTGGAGAATGACGGGGTAAGTGGACAGTGCAGCCTCCTTCTAAACAAACCCCGTTGTTCCAAGCTGCTGAATGTTGTGCAGGGGGCCTCTGGGAAGGGCCGCTGCACCCCACAGGCGCCAACCCCACACACAGAGAAGTCCCCGCTGGAGGACTCCAAGCTTGCCGCCTCTTCCGGGGGGGTCATGAACTCAGACCTGCTCTCATGGTCTTGGGTAGAAGCTACAGGATGCTGGCTGCTGCATCTGCCCGGGCATACTACACTGGCAGCACCCAACTGGGGCCTCGCGCACCAGCCCTCACAGCAGGGCCAAGGACGGGACATGATGACTGACCTGGGCCTGAGACGCTGGCAGTGCCCGTGTCAGCACGTGCCGTTGTTGACCTGTGAAACAGGCAGTAGGTGCCAAGGAAGAGCTACAAGACAGAGCTGGAGGCCCCCACGAGGTACAAGGAAGGAAGGGGTAAAAAAAAAAGTGGTTCACGTTGTAAGCATGCCTATTATTTTGTTCCCCTGCCATTTTGTAGAAGTTAGGGCCGGGCCGGGCCGAAGCCGGCAGCCGGGCGCACAGGCTGGGGGGCTTCATGTCTGTTTTTCATGTGTGGGAGTATCTGTCTTTATGCTAGTAAAGCTTTCAATCAAGAACATCTGTTGATTTTTTTTAGCATCCATGTTTTGCTTCCTCATAGTTATAAGGGATAGAAAGTGAACAGGTTTCTAAATATTGGCCCTTGTATTTTAACCATCATTTTAAAATTTAAAATGTATTCATTTTGAAAAGTATTGGGGCTGGTTTGTATCCTGGTTGCTCCACTTCCAGTTCAGCTCTCTGTGGCCCATGGGACCCTGCACCCATGTGGGAGACCTGGAAGAAGTTCCTGGCTTTGGATTCACTCAGGCTCTGGCTTTTATGGCTACCTGGGGGTGAACCACCAGATAGATCTCTCTGTCTCTTCTCTCTAAATTTGCTTTTCAAAATAAATAAATAAATAACAACAACGACGAAAGTGTTGGAAGAGAGAGAAGGGTAGTTTTCGGTCTGCTGGCTCTCTGCCCAGGTGGCTGCAGTGGCCAGGGCTGGACCAGCCTGCACTGGGGGCCAGGAGTGTGTTCTAGGTCTCCCCTGGGGGGCAGGGACCCTAACAAGTGGACTGCCTCCTGCTTGTCCGGGCTGCCAGCAAGGAGCTGGATCGGAAGGACAGCAGCTGGGACCGCAGCTGGTGCTTGGGTGGGATACTGCGTTCCTGGCTGTGCCACACCACCGGCTCCTGTCCTCTGTGCTGTGGAAATCGGGTCCCTCTGACCTGTGGCCAGCACTCTTGTGACCATGTGTGCTGAGTTGGTCTGCAGCTTTTTTTTTTTTGTCAGATTTTATGCAAAGCATGATTCCGTTTTAAAGCTTTGTCAGCCTTAAAAAAATAACCTGGCACCTTCTCTTTACATCTTCCAGAAGAGAGGGGTTAGTGCCCCAGTCGGGTCAGATTCTCCAGGGGCTGGAGGCCAGGAGGCCAGAAGCGCCACCTGCCGTCCTGTTGGGCTCTGCCTGAGGTGGCTGTGCTGCCTTCCAGTTCTGTCTTCACACTGATCCACGTGGGATTGAGGGAGGTGTTGAACATCTGCCCTACTTTCTAGCATTTTCATGGCCGTGGATGGGATTTTACTCTGTTAGCCAGAACTCATTCTGCCTTTTAGTTCTTCCTTCTGCTTGTCTGAGGCTGGTTACACGTTTTTGTTTTTTATTTCTGAGTTGACGGTCACATTGCTGAACAGAATGGAGTGGAAGCAGTGACGACCCCCGGCTGCCGCCCTCCGAGCCCCGCCTCCTCTCAGGTGCGTGTGGGGCTCCCTGGGCTGCAGTTTGCCTGCTGTCCCCAGATGCCCGGGACTTCCCCGAGAGCTGGTGTCTGCACTTACCGAGCCACAGCCAGCGTGGTGGCGTCGGGGCTGGGTCTGCCTGCCGAGGCAGTGGAGGGCTCGTATGCCGAGCTGGCCTCCCAGGGGACCTGTCAAATGTCTGCAGCTCGTGCTTCTGCTCTGGTGTCATGGGTGCTGCACTGGACAGAGGCCCTGGAGGTGGCCGGGGTGACCCTGTCTTGCCCCTAAATGTGTTTGGCCTTGAGTTGCGCCCTGCCTGCGGCGGTAGTATGCTCCTTGTTGAGTGTGTTGTTAGCATCACTCTGTGTGTGTGTGTGTGTGTGTGTGTGTGTATTTGCTGCATTTTGTGGGTGCGCTTTCCCTGAGGGATTTGACTTAGGAATCCAAGTGCCCAAGGCTTTTGCGGTCCCATCCCTCGTCCCCCTAGCCTTGGCCCAGGAGTCAGAGTGGGATGCTGGCGTTGGCACAGCACTGCCCTGCGATCCCACCATACCCGAGGTGCAGGACACAGGGTGCTGAGTGGCTGGCACGGTGTGCCCCAGTCCTCTGGCACAAAGTACACAGCCGAGGCTTCCTCTAGGTCCTGTTGCTGTTCAGACACTCGCTTGTGAGCCCCACGGAACCCCCAGGAGCCCAGAGGCTGACGACCAGGAGGGCATGGGGGTGGTTTCAGGAGCCCCAACACTGAGAAGGCAGAGTCTGACACAGCATGTGCCCTGACTATAGTGGGCATCGCTCAGACTGTGTAGCATCCCTAGGCCCCCCTTCTGTGCACACTCCTGCCAGGCACTCCACGCAGAGCACTGGGTGGTGGAATCCAAAACCACACATGAATTTGCCAACATTTTTTTTTTTGCACCAAAATAAAACTTTTTATTTTAAAACTATATATTTATGTGAGAGGCAGAGAGAAAGAGCGAGCCCGTAGCTGTTGGTGCACTGCGCAGCTGGGAATTCCATCCCGTGGGCACCACTGGAATCATGGGAGCCATGCTGGTGCCGGCTGCTCTGCTGGAGTCAGGGACATGAGCAGGCATTGCACCTGCCAGTTCAAACCCCCATGCCCAGGAGGGCAGTGCCCTCACAGAGTGTCCCTGAGCGTTCCTGGGCCTGTCTTTGTGGGACTGCTTGTTGAGGTCTCCCTAGAAGTACCTGGGTAGGAGGGGTGGGTTCCCGTGTCCAGTTGGGATTCTGCTGGCTCGTCCTGCGGCAGCTGAGCAGACGCGGGTGGGGGGGGGGCAGGCACTGCGGTTTGCCCTGCAGAGGGAGCTGCACATTGCCCTGCTGGCCGCTGGCACCAGATGTTTTCCTGAACTTGCCATCTCACATCCTCTCTGGAGAAAACACTTCCAGGCTCCAGGTCCCACCTAAGCAACTTCTAGAAAGTTCTCAGAAATTCCAACTCGTTCAAAATCTCCTGGATACAAGTCCCCTGGTGGCTACTAAGTCTTCCTCAGTTCATCAGTTCTTTAGGCACCCGTGGCCCTCCCCAGCTCCTGAGGTTGTGGATGTGTCTTCCTTCAGCCCCCTGTGTAAGGTTTGGCTTGGAGGGATTCCTTGGCTTTGATGCACGCCCCCTAGTGGCAGCGCTGTTCGCTGCCACCACCATCCTGGTTCCCCTGAGTTGGTTCCGGATGTCTTGTCACTGGTGAGCTGGCTGGCATGTGGGCCACTCCTGGGGCCACACAGAATTGTCTTTTGGCCATTTCAGAGTCTGGGTCTGTCCACCTACATTTCAGAACAGTCCTGCTGGGGTTCCGATCGTACCTGCGTGAAGAGCATCGGTCAGTTCCGGGGAGAACTGGTGGCTTTCCCGGGCCAAGGCCGCCGATTCATGCGTATGGTTGTCTCTCTGCTTATTTTCCAGTTTTTGAAATTGGAATGTGGTGGTTCCCAGGCCACAGAGCCTGTACTCAATGGCATTGCTTCACACCTCAGTCTTTAGAATATTTAGTCTTTCTAAAATGGCACTGCACGTTTTGCCAGCTGGCGACTGTTCATTACTGGAGTGTAGACACACTGTTGATTGGCGCCGACCTAGTATATTTTGGCCAAACTCACCTGTCCTCCTCCTTTTAACGATTCTTTGGGGTGTGCTCTGCTGGTTGTTGTGGTCGGTGTATCCGGTCCCAGTTAGGACTACCAGTTCTTGGTTTGCACGCAGTGGGAGGTGGGCCCCCTCACCTCGGTGAGGGTGGGAGTCTGCGGGTCCCTGAGGATTCAGCAAGGACGTGTCTGCTCTGTCCTGGCTTGCTGAGACTTTGTTGTTTAAAATCAAGAGGAGGGCTTAATTTTAGCAGATGCTTGTCCTGCAGTTCACAACACCGTGGGGTTTCCCATCTGTGGGCTAGCCGCTGGAAGCAGTCACCAGTGAGTCTGGCTGAGTTTTTTCATCTTGGGATATACTAGCAAATGTCCGGCCCCTTCTGCAGTTTTCTGTAGCCTTGAGTAAACTGTCAGTTTCAGTAGGACCTAGCTGATCACCGCCTTTGGCCATGTCAGTGGGAGGTCTAAGCCAGGACTTCAGCAGCTTTCCTGTGTGGAGGGCGCGTTAGAGGGGGTTTTTAGCTGAGTTTTTGTAGCTTAGCTTGCAGAGCTAATGAGTGCTGCTGTGTGCTGTGCCTCCAGTGTCCACACAGGGCGGCTCTTCCTGGGATCCAGGGACCTTGTGACGCGCTGCAATGGCCTCTGATGGATCGTCGGGCAGCTGCAGTCTGCAGCCAGGCTGGTCCAGGGCAGCTCCTGTGTGGGGCAGTGTGCCCGAGTGGGCAGTGCCCTCTTGGCTCCGTCGCAGTTGGGAAGGTGGATTTAGTTCTTTAAACAGCATGGCATGTCAGGACAGCTCTGCCCGGAGGCCAAGAGGGAGGGACAGAGGGAGACGCGGTTCCCACAGGGTTTCTGAGCGCATTACCGTGTGCGTCCTCACGCTGCTGTGCCCCCAGGACACACACGGGCAGAAGGCAGAGCCGACTCAGGGGCCAGGACAGGGGCTGGTGGCCGCGCTGGCTTTGGGGTGCTTCTGGCCCTTCCCGGGCCCCCAGCAGTACTTCTCACACAGCTTGAGGAGCTCCGACAAAACGAACACGGACGAGGCCAGCCCCATGAGAAAGAGCAGGTCTGCGGAGGTGAGCAGAGGAGGATCATGGATGCCAGCTGTGCTGGCCCCCAGCCACTGGCACCCTGGACCCCGAGCTGTGTCCTGAGAAAGCCACAGAGAGGGGCACAGGCTCCCCTGGAGGTGAAGGACCAGCCCTGCTGCTTCCCCTGACAGAGCAGTGCCCCTCCCCCCCTCGAGAAACAAACCTGGGGTGGCCCAGAGCCTGGGCAGGGCACAGGGGCATGCTGGGCCCTAGGTAACACTGCCTGCCTGACACGTGCCTGGGGTCTCCCTACTCCCTGGGGCTGGTCAGGGGCACACGGGCTGCCCAGCTCAGCTGCGGCAAGGGGCAGCTGCCTCGCTTCCTGCAGGTGGAGGCAGGCGTGAGGCACCGCTGGCGTGCTCTGTGCCGGTGTCCACAGCGACATAGGCCAAGTGACCACCGCTGGTCTTGCATGGAGGGCACGGGCACCGCCCCCTGCAGCCTCGGACATGCCTGGCTAAGCCCAAGCTCCTGGGAGAGGTCAAGGGCAGGCAGGGTGGGCAGGACTAGGGCCACAGCCAGCTGTGGTCACTCTTGGGCCGCCCCTGCCAGTGCAACTTCAGAGAAAGGCAGTGCCAGCAGCCTGGGGAGGCCACAGCAGGCCTGGCCACTAACACCTGCTCTGCCCAGGAGGGGGTGGGGGGCAGCTGCTGCCTTAGGTAAGCAGGTGTTGGGGTCACCCCTGCTGCAGTGTCAGGCAGGCATCACAGTCAGGGCCGAGCCAGAGCCTCCTCTGGCTGCCCCCACCTTCAGGCTCGCAGCCTCCCACCGAGCCCGGGAGTGGGGAGAGGCCCCCGTGGGTGGGGGGTTTGACGCGGTGGGGGGAAGCTGTGCTCACCGAGCGCACCCAGGTTCTCTGTCTGGAAGACCTTCTGCAGGGGCGGGGCGTAGATGACGGCCAGCTGGCCCAGGATGGAGCCCAGCACCGAGTAGAGGAACATGTGGTTCCGGAAGAAGCCGAGCTCCACGATCAGTTTGGTCTACAGGTAGAAGGGTCACATGGGCTGCTGCAAGAGCTGCCCTTGTCCCACGGGGCAGGGGGCACGGGGCAGGGCTGAGGGGCCAGCGTGGCTTACCTGGGAGCGGCAGGTCAGGGCATTGAAGAGGTCGAAGAAGACAAAGCAGGTGAAGGTCATGGTCGTGGTGCGGGGGGTGCTGGTGCCATCTGCGGGAATCTGCAAGGTCAGGCACAGCCTGGGTGAGCGGGAGGGGGCAGCTGTGCCCACGGGCCGCTCGGGTGCCGGCTGGCAGGATGAGGGGGTGAGAGGAGCTGGTCTGGAAGCTGCGTTCCGGGATGGTGCTGGTTCAGTGGTTACTCTACTTCCTGTCCGAGCACCTGGGCTCTCGGCCTGAACTACTTGCAGCTTCCTGCAGCCCATGTGGGACACCTGTGTGGCGTCCCAGGCTCGTGGCTTCTGCTGGCTCCTGTGGACATCTGGGGCATGGGCAGCGGGGATGGAAGAAAATGCTCTCCCTCCCGCCCCGTCTCTCTCCGCCTTTCAAAGCAGTCAGCGGTTTCCTTCCGTCTGGAAGTCTTTGCCACTGGAAGGAAGGGCAGCTCTGAGCCACAGGGCTGACAGGTGCAGGTGGTACAGGTCAAAGGGAGACCACTCCTCCAGCAGGAAATGGTCCCAGGGAGGGGACTGCGTTATTGGTAGGGGAACTCCCTACCAAGGATAGGGAGGGGCTGACCTTGGAGCGCTGGGGAGGAAGCGGGGCTGTGACGGGCCCAGGGAGAGAAGCTGGAGAAACTGCAGGAGGGAGTGTCAGGGGAGGGGGTTGGCTGATGCTGTGGGGGCCGGGCCCCTCCAGCCCCGCTGCTGCTGGGTGAGAGCTCACCCTGTGAGACAGCTGAGGCCTACTGCACAGGAGCTCACCGGGCATGGACAAGGCTGAGCACACAGAGCTTTGGCCTGAGAACGGCAGGAGCCGTCCCACACTGGAGCAGCTCAGGGGAAGCTGGGTGGACCCAGCAATATGTCCACCCCTTACAAGGCTTCACCCTGTTTCCTGCTGATGGGCGGGGACAGGGGGAGGGCCCCCAGCCCTCAGTAGGAAAACAGCATCCTGTGCTCTGTCCCCAACTCCTGCCTCTGTCACTGCCTTTCCCCTGCCCACCCTGGGTCGGCCTTGTGGGGTGGGCATCCTGCCCTGCACCACCTGCGGTGTGGGCATTGTGCCATCCCCAAGTGAAGCAGCACAGCGCAGGGCTCACCTCTTTCCAGAAGACGAACAGCGTCCCGCTGATGATGATGGCAGCGGACAGGAGGGTACGCAGGAGCAGCGCGCGGCCCAGGATCTTGTCCTGTACCCTGCGGGGCGGCTGTCCCAGGGCGTCCTGGTCCACGGGCTCCACCCCCAGGCTGCCCAGAGAGAGGTCGCGTGTGAACCAGGAGGCTGGGTTCAGCTCGGGTGGGCATCAGCTGCGGCCGAGGGCTGCCCTGTACCGACGTCTGCCTACCCCACCTGTCCCTCCCTCCAACAGCTGCCTGCACGGTTCCTTCTGGTACCCACTGGTGCCTGATGGCATGGCAGTTGCCTACCCCTGCAAGACTGCCACAGGGGTCCTCCTTCATCCTCTGACCCCTGCCATTGCTGGAAGGGGCCCCAGCCAGGCCTGCCCTGGAGCCCCCTGCCAAGACAAACAGGAGCTGGGCTCTGCACTGGCTTACTCTTCCAAAGCTGGACTAAGCGGGGTGGCGGGGACAAGAGGCCAAGGCCTCCCCCTGCATGGGACAGCGATACCCTACTCCCGGGGATGGGGTGCTTGTAAGAGACAGGGTGACAACCTCTTCCTGGGCAGCTGTCAGCAAAGCAAGGAAGGGTGGGTACAGAGGATGCTGGCACTTAGCCCCACAGCCTGCTCGGGGTCTGCAGAGGTCTCCGACTCCTGTGCTGGCTGCTCCCTCTGGCTCGTGCCAGAGGCTGGGCGCCAGCAGAGAGCAAGCAGGTCTGCCTCTGCAGTGGGAGGGGCAGTGGGTAGAAGAGGGCTGCACTGGGTTAACGGAGAGGACTTCTTGGAGGTGGCTGGTTGCGGTCCCTCCAAGCCGCACTGCCCCACTCCCTGCAGGGGCCACTGGGGCTCGGGGTCTCACCTCTGCGCCGGGGGCCCGTCCATGATGATGTTGATCCACAGGATCTGCATGGCATTGAGGGGGCTGGGCAGGTTGAAGACAGTGGACAGGGTGATGAGGCTGAGGGCGGAGATGCTCCTGCAGGGCAGAGTGGGCCGTGACAGCTGCCGGCCGGCCTGGGCGCAGTGCCCACCTGCGTGCCCTCCTGCCCCGAGCATGGCTGACTTACGTGCTCAGCTGGAAGCGCACGAAGTTCTTGATGTTGTGGAAGATGCCCTTGCCCTCCTCCACTGCGCTCCTGGGGGAGGAAGGGGGTGAGGGGCCCGGCGGGGGGTGGGGGGTGCTGCGCCCTGTGTGGCCTGCAGCTGCACTCATTGTCCCCTCGTGGCACAGCTGGGGGGGGCAGGCAGGTGGCTTCAGGGACGGGAGGGGGCGTGGGGGATTTACAGAAGAGAAGCCATGAAGCTGTAAACGCACTGTACTTCTCAATTTTGTTGTTGAAAGGCAGATTTACAGAGAACCTCCACCTGCTGGTTTACTCCAACAGCCTCAGCTACCAGAGCAGGGCTGGTCTGAAGCCGGGAGCTGCTTCTTGGTCTCCCACGTGGGCATTAGCCACAATCCCAGGTGCATTGGTAGGGAACTGGACCAGAAATGGAGCAGCCAGGACTCGAACCAATGCCCATGTGGGATGCCGACACTGCAGGCAGTGGCTTAACATCACAGTGCCAGCCCCTCAGTGCACTTGTTAAACGCTGCGGGAGCAGATTGTGCGGTGGCTTTGTGGTGAGGGGTTAAGCCTCTGCTATCAGAGTGCTGGTTTGAGTCCCTACTGCTCCACTTCAGCCCAGCGCCTGTGGCACCTGGGAGGCAGCTAATGGCCCAGCCCTGGCCATTGGAGAAGTGAGCCAGGGGCCGTAACATCTCTTTGTCTGCCTTTCAAACAGATAAAACTTAGGGTACACCACCTGGGGCTCGTGTGGGTGGCAATGTGTGCTCATCTAGTTGGGGTGTCAGAACACAGCCCCCTCACAGTTACTGTGACAGAGGCAGGAATCGAGTCTTCATTAGAACTGAAATGAGCCTCCCTGGCTCCTGCCCACTGCCCAGGACCTTGCAGGCTGTCATCACACAGACCTCAGCCGGGCTGACCCAGAGCGGGAGGTGCAGGGCCTGGTGCCAGGGTGGATCAGCCCTGTCACAGTGTGGTGGCCCAACATGTGGTCACTCCCTCCCACCCCCAGGACTCCTCCCTGGCTGTCTGGTCCCCGGGAGCCGCTCACATGATGGCCGAGAAGTCATCGTCCACCAGGATCATGGTGGCGGCCTCCTTGCTGACGTCCGTCCCCATCTGCCCCATGGCGATCCCGATGTCAGCCGACTTGAGGGCCACTGCGTCGTTCACACCGTCCCCCGTCATGGCCACAATCGCCCCCGACTCCTGCAGTGCCTTTGGGGAGTGAGCTGATGGAGGCTTGCAGCACAAGGATGCCCCTTCCAGATGCTTCTGCCTCCCTCCCACGCCCCTGTCCGGAGGGTGCCGAGTGGTCAGCCCAGCTCCACCTGCACGAGCAGGAAAGGGGCAGTGCCTCGAACCTCTCAACCTCGGTCTGCCCATCATAAAATCAACACCCCCACACGGGGGTGGGGGGGACTAGGGACCCCTTCTCCCTGCCTTTCCCGCAGCAGGGACCTGGACAGTCACCCCTACTACATCTCCAAAACAAGGCCCAAGAAATGAACACTTTGAGAAAAATAACTAGCTGTGGTATAGCTGATAAAGCCGCCCCCTGCAGTGTCCCATACAGGAGCCAGTTTGTGTCCTGACTGTCTCACTTCTGACCCAGCAGCGGAAGATGGCCCACGTGCTTGGGCCTTGTACCCGAAGAGACCTGGAAGGAGCTCCTGGGCTTGGTTTGGCCCAGACCTTGGGGAGTGAAACTAGCAGAGGGAGAGGTCTCTTAACTCTGGCCTTGCTTTTCCTTCCTAAGATGCATTTTAATTGAAAGAGTTACAGGGAGCGAATCTTCCACCTGCTGCTGTCGCTCTATAAATGATCCCAGTGGCCAGAGCTGAGCCAAGCTGAAGCCAGAAGCTTCCTCTGAATGTCCCACATGGGTGCAGGTGCTCAGATTTGGGCCATCTTCCCTGCTTCCTCAGGCCCAAAGCAGACAGCTGGATCAGAACTGGAGCAGCCCGAACTCGAACTGGCGCCGATATGGGAAGGCAGTGCTGCAGACAGAGGATTAGCCTGTATGCCATTGCGCTGGCACCTAAACTCTGGCTTTCAAATACTTAAAAAAAAGTAATTTCCACAGACTGAGAATCAGAGGAGCTCGGGCATGGTCCCAGGTTCCACACACAACTAGAACATCGCCTGGCGCCCATGGCATGCCTGCTTCCCCCCTCCCTTCCCTGAGTACCTTGATGATCTTGAGCTTGTGTTTGGGGCTGGTCCTGAAGAATACAGACACCTGCATCAGGGAGGCGCAAGGTCAGGGTCTGAGAAGGGGAGCCCCCCGCCCCGCCCAGTTCCTGCCTCAGGAGCTCCACCTTCTGGACATGCTTGGCCAGCTCGCTCAGTTCCATGCCGTCCACTTCCTCCCCAGACATGGCCTGCAGCTTCCCATCACACAGGCCGATGCTTCTGCCTTCGGGGAGAAGCAAGTCAGAGATCTTTGGGGTTCCAGGGGTGGGGCTTCCAGCCCCCCCAACCTTCTGCATGTGGGCATCCACGAGAATTAGGCTCTGTGTCAGCTTTGTGGCCCTGCCTCCCCAGAAGTGACACATAGCAACAGCCTCACATCCCCAGGGAGGAATGGCCACCCCAAGGTCCCACAGCCTGGGGAGGGGCAAACTTGGAGCCTGATGTGGCTCTGATTCCAAAGCTGGTGCCAGGAACCAGACTGCCACTGGGTGCAACACTGCCCATTGTCCTCAGTGTACAAGGACATGGCCCCTTCTGGGGAACAGACTCCTAGGAGTGGCATGCCCACTGCCCATTGGATCCTGCCCAGGCGTAGTGCTCCTGACCCAGCCTTGACCCATAAGGCAGGAACGCCATGGACAAAGGGATCAGGCTCCCCGCATCCTCTCCCCTGGCATACCCACAGCCAGGGCCGTCTCCAGCGCGTCCCCCGTGATCATTGCCACTGACACGCCTGAGGCACGCAGCGCCTGCACAGCTTCCTTCACGCCAGCCCTTGGTGGGTCGATGATGCCCACCAGGCCCAGGAACATCAGCGCGCCCAGCTCGGGCCCAGAGGCCAGGGCCAGCACTGAGGAGAGACCACCACCGAGCAGGGGTCAGCAGGGTGTGGGGTAGAGGCCACCATGGCCAGTACCGTCCAGGGCTCCTGCTTGGGGAAACGCCGCCCATGCGGAAACCACAGGGGCAGACAGGTGCCACTGAGTGCTGGGTGGTGTGTGGGGGCGTCCTGCCCCGCATGTGACCTTGGGCACTGAGCATTTCTGTTCCACCTGACCACCCTCCCGAGGGCTGCCTAGCCACTGAGCCACCCGCACTGACCACGCAGGCCCAGTGAGCCCATCCTCGCCTCCTCCTGCAGGCAGAAGGCCCGGTGCTGCGGCGTCAGGGGCAGGGGAATACCCCCGTGGTTATAGCTGCTGCAGGAGCTGATCACCTCTTCAAAAGCCCCTTTCATGAAGTAGGTGTCGTCCTGGTCCTGGGAGAGGTGAGAGGGAGACTTGAGATGGAGGAAGGAGAGGAAAAAGCAGCCATAGGTCCCGCCCCAGGAGCCAGGGTGGCTCCACCCCCAAAGGGAGGAGCCAATAGGACAAGCAGGACCTCAGTGTGGGAGGTCCAGGAAGTAGAGGCTCAGCGCTGGCCGGCACAGGGCGACCACAGGGACATGTGCCACTCAGCCACCCACTCAGCCATTCAGGCCAGAGACAAAGCTGTACCTGCTGCCTAGGCACTGGCAGGTACAGGCTGCTGGGTGGCACCGGCAGGTACAGGCTGCTGGGTGGCACTTACTTCTGCCTCAGCAGGCCTGGTCCCGGGTGGCATTGTTGCCACCACCCCAGGGATGCTGCTTTGAGAGATGCCCGAAAGAGGACGTGAATCTAACAGACACTGACTATCAATGGCCAGGTGGATCCCGAGTCCCAAGGCTGCATTTAGAGGTGGGGGTACGGCAGACTCACCCCACTCTTGGTGCTGCACCTCACGGCCATCCACTTCTGCTCGGAGCTGAACGGAATCTCCTTCTTCCTCACATAGGCATCTTTGATGTCACCCAGGTCCATCTGGGGTGAGAAAGCAGGCCCTTTGGTGAGCCACCTGCAGCCAGCCTGTCCCGGGCCACCCTGTGAGGTGTGCACACAGCCGGCAGGTGACAGCTCAGGATCTGGGTCCCTGCCACTCACATGGCTGCGCCTGGGCTGTGACAGGCGTTTGGGGAGTGAACCAGTGGATGGAACATCACTATCGTTGTCTCTGTGCCTTCCAAATACTTTCGTAAAGTAAAAATTTACAATAATATGTTCAGTGCAAGAATGTTTTTAGATGCAGTTTTTTCATGCCATGAATTTCCCACAACCTTTATGATGACCTTATATTCCAAGCACAAGTATGCACACAGACCATGCACCTGTGGCATGCACACAGCACACACACAGACCATGCACCTGTGGCATGCACACAGCACACACACAGACCATGCACCTGTGGCATGCACACAGCACACACACAGACCATGCACCTGTGGCATGCACACAGCACACACACAGACCATGCACCTGTGGCATGCACACAGCACACACACAGACCATGCACCTGTGGCATGCACACAGCACACACACAGACCATGCACCTGTGGCATGCACACAGCACACACACAGACCATGCACCTGTGGCATGCACACAGCACACACACAGACCATGCACCTGTGGCATGCACACAGCACACACACAGACCATGCACCTGTGGCATGCACACAGCACACACACAGACCATGCACCTGTGGCATGCACACAGCACACACACAGACCATGCACCTGTGGCATGCACACAGCACACACACAGACCATGCACCTGTGGCATGCACACAGCACACACACAGACCATGCACCTGTGGCATGCACACAGCACACACACAGACCATGCACCTGTGGCATGCACACAGCACACACACAGACCATGCACCTGTGGCATGCACACAGCACACACACAGACCATGCACCTGTGGCATGCACACAGCACACACACAGACCATGCACCTGTGGCATGCACACAGCACACACACAGACCATGCACCTGTGGCATGCACACAGCACACACACAGACCATGCACCTGTGGCATGCACACAGCACACACACAGACCATGCACCTGTGGCATGCACACAGCACACACACAGACCACGTGCCTGAGGTGTGAATGTTTCTCAGGCTTGGGTGACCAGGACGCAGTGTCTGGCAGTCCTGTAAGCGGGGGAGCCGAGCTTCGTCCCCACAAACACATCTCTACAGTGAAGTCCTAACCCAGATCTCTGAGGGTTCTGCTCCAATGCCCGAGCATCAGAGGAGACGGCATGTGGCTGTGCACCATTTGGCAGGAGGTGGGCAATGGGTGTGGTCCCTGTCAGCTAGGAGTCCCACCCCCACTCTGATTTCTGACCACAGGAACTGCAGTTCCCTGGGTTGCTGCCCACCCCTCCAAAGTTCCCATGTGTGGGGTGAGGGTTCAGCCAGCTTTGGGGGCAGAAGGGGTAGGAGCTGAGCCCGCAGGCCCTGTCTGAGAGTCTCAGGTGGAACCCACCCTGTGTGCCCTTGTCCCCACTTGCCCGCTATGGGTGCTGGCTTCCAGGAGGCAGAACCTCCTATGGGTGCACGGGACGGGTAAGCTGATGGGCCTGGGACAAGAGAGGTGACTTATGAAAACTGGGGTGGGTGAGGCACAGGAGTTACAGCCCACACAGTGATGGGTGCCCAGGACGTGCTGCACCATATGGTGCCACGGGTGGCCGGCTGCCATGGGGAAGGCACACCCTGCTCAGAGACAGGGGCTCTCAGGTGGACAGGGTGCTGGATGAGGCGATGGCTCCACCCAGCTATGCGTACCCCGCCCCCCGTGACTCAGATGTAGATGCCACAGGCATGCAGCTCTTTAAGCATGCTTTGGAGCTCAATAAAGAGCTTAATTAACAAAAAGGGGAGGGAACACTGAAGTGAACTTGAAGAAGGCTGGAGGTGGCCAGAGAGGTCAGGGCACAGAGGCAGGCAGGGGTCAGATGGTGCAGAACAAACACCCGAGCTGGGCTGTCCTGACCTGGGGAGTGAGAAGGGATGAGAGACAAATCACCTGGCAGCCACAGGGATGACGGTGGGGGCAGGGCCGATGTGTCCCTAGGCCTGGCTGAAGTGAGAGAGACCAGGAGTGCGTCCCCCACCAGGCTGCCCAGGAAATGGGTGCAGGTGCAGACGGGGCCTTCACTCCCTTCCTCCTCCCACCCGCGGCTCCACGCCCCAACTTCTTCCTCCCCTTTCTACTGCTCACCTGTCCCCATGTGCCCAAGACCTAGCAGGGCCCACCAAAGGGTCCCTCACCTGCTCCTTTGGGTGCTCCAGTACTGGGGGCAGGACAGCAAGCATGTCACATATCAGAAGGAGTCAGCCCCTCATAGACAGGGGCTGGATGGGGCGAAGGCCCAGGTACCTCCCACTCTCCCCACACCTGCATCGGCACGGGCAGGGCCTGCTGGAGCCTTCAGAGAGCACACAGCACCCAGGGTACCCCCTCCTCACTCAGCCACCTGCTCCTATCCCACCCCTGCAGCCCCTGGCACTCCCCCCAGGGTTCCTACCTTCATGGCCAGCGCCAGCAGGGCGCCCTCTGTGGGCTGCCCAAGGACAGTGTTCCTCCTGATGACGGCGTTGTTGGCCACACAGCCGGCCTGGAGGGGGTTTCCAACACCTCTGGTTAGGACAGGGAGCTGGCACCCTGCGGGGTCTAGGGAAGTCAGGGGTGAAAGCATAGCCTGTGGGGTCCTGAGTGTGGGTGGTGGGGAGCGGGGCCCCGCCATGGGGATTCTGCCTGGGATGTGGGCCCGAGTGGGACAGATGTGCTGGGCGTACCTCACGGCCCTGAGCTAAAGCCATCTGCTGCAGACTTCAAAAAGGGTCAAGTCTGTGGATGGGGCCTGTCTCAGCGTGCCACAAACACTGAACATGAAAAGCAGCAATGGTAAAAACACGGGGGGCCCAGCTCTCCCTACCCCTGGATGGGAAGTGCAGCCCTCACGCCACTGCTCCGAGCCCCCCTCGCCTCAATCTAAAGCTGAGGGGATGCAGGGGTCTGGAGAGGCGAGACCCCCACGGTTCCCATCACGTCTTCCAGCACCTGTCTGAGCAGCTGACTGTAGCCCCTCCTAGCAAAGCGGAGGTGAGCACAAAGGACCCTCCTCTCCTCTCACCTCCCACCTTCCCTGTCTGCGGTTCACGTCCTGATGCTGTGACAGCCTGTGGTGGGCTTAGGTGGCCCACCTGCAGCTCCATTCCAAGCAATGCCAGGACTCCCATCTTTCCCCAGGGTGCCCCCAATGCTTACCTCCACCAATTTTCCCACCGAGATGTTGGAAAATTCCTTCACTACCTCCTGGGATGGTAAAAGGCAGACGGTCCCTTCGCCACTGTACCCAATGCCGCTGACCTGCAGAAGCCCGGAAGTGTTGGTGGGAGCCAGCCACATGCTCTCCCAGATCAGAGCTGGCCAGTCGGCACCAGGGTCACTCGATGCACAGGCAACCATGGGAGGTAAGCCTGTGTCCCCACCCCCCGCAGGGTGTGGCCAATGTTTGCTCAGGGCCACAGGAGCAGCCCCAGGGACCCTCGCCCTGCCATCAGGGTGTGGAGGCAGCGTCCACCAGTGGGCGTGGCAGGACACCCAGAGGGTGCTGCTTTCAGAATGAGGTGCAGGACAGGTTCATGGAAAAAAGAAGCCAAGAGAGCAAAGCTGCACTGAGGAGCTCACAAGTGTGCCAAGTGGACAGGAAAGGGAAGTGGCGGGTGCCAAGAACGGGCACAGTCAGCTCGTCACGGCATGGAGGGGACCCATTAGCGTGGCAGCTGTGTAGTATGCTTAGCCCTCACGCGCGCCGTCCGGTCCAGCCCTCTGACCAGCACAGGACCAGGCTGCTGAGACAGGCCCCACGAATGTGCTTGGCACCCACCTCGGCGTGCAGCCCGTCAGACGTGACCAGCTGCGTCACGGTCATCTGGTTGGCCGTCAGGGTCCCTGTCTTGTCAGAGCAGATGACATTGCAGCAGCCTGGCAGGGGAGAGGGGACGGTCACCGCCATCTCCCCCACCCCAAGCTGACCCCCAAACATCCCCTGAAACCGTGTGGTCTCACCTAGGGTCTCCACAATGGGCAGCTTCTTCACAATGACCCGCTTCTTGGCCATGCGCAGCACTCCCAGGACCAGCGTGACCGTGACCACGATTGGCAGGCCCTCAGGGATGGCCGCCACTGCCAGGCTGCCTCGGGATGGAAGGGGAGGGTAGGTGGCCACCATCAGTATGGACATAGAGACGAGGGGTCTCAGCGTCCCCCCACCTCGTGGTACACCTGCATGCCCCCGCTGCAGCTTGCCACAGGGGCTGGGAGGGGCACCGCACAGCTCACATTCTCCCATCAGAGACAAGGGAAGGAACTCTAGGAGTGGGATTGCCCGCCTGTGGCGTCCTTTGATGACCGCCTGCCATTCATGTCGAGGTTCGGTCACCCCAGTAAGACCAGAGAAAGGCCAGAGGAAGGAGGTCGGTGGCTCGGCGCAGCTGTCGCCCTCCCTGCCTCATCCTCCAGATTGATCATCTGACTCAGCCTCCTGCAGCTCTGGCTGCTCATTCTGGGGGGAGGGCACGGGACTCAGCCCACCCCAACGAGGCCTCTCCAACAGTGTGAGCTGGGCAGAGGCCCCCAGGGGTGACAGCTAAACAGGGGTCCCAGCACTCTGTGGCGCGGAGTCCATGTGCACACTTGGCAAATGGGGATGTGGTGCAGCTGACACCCAGGCCTGCTCTGAAAGCATTTTTTGGTGGGGGCCATGAGATAACCCAAGGCGACACAGAGCGGCCGAGATCTGGCCAACAGCACGAGTAGCTGTGAGCTGACCAGTGTGGGAGCTTGTGGTTACGACATGGATGGTCACTCGATTCTTTCCGCTTTGTGACCGAAAATTATCTTTAAAGAAATTTCAAAGCAATGGTGATGAAAAGAAGCCGTGATGACTGTTGACAGTCATTCATGCCCGACTGCCACACACAGAGCTGTGCCCCGCGGGGCCCAGAGCAGCCACCCAGCATCTTTCCCGTGCAAACTCCAGCTTAAGTTTTCATGCCACATCTCCTGGAGGGGACCCCGGGCACCTGGACATCCAGCTCCGTGCACAAGGGAAGCCCTGGCTGGGACTGTGCCACCACCTCAGGCAGTGCCAAGAACACAACAGCCACGACCAGAACTGCACGCTGCCACGTCACTTCTGACTTCACAGGTGGCCAGTGTGGGTGGGGTGGCACAGAGGGTCCGTATCTCACCATCAAAACAAACTTAGTATCTGTACCGTGGACCCTGGGACCAGGGACACGTGGGGACAAGTTCTAGATCAAGATTGCAGCATGGGTTTATGGCCCAGACTGGCCAAACATTTGTGGAGGCGTGGGGTGGGCACACCACACCGCACCACGGCTGGTGCCTCTGTGTTCACAGCAATAAAAACAGGTCAGTCAGGGCGGACCAGGAAAAGTGTCAGCCCCGAGTCTCCCTCAGTGTCGCTCGGGGCACGCAGGACGAGGACTGGGTTTTGAGACAGTTCTTTCGGCAGGGTCAGCTGCACTCGGCCCCTATGGCAGCGACCCTCAGCCGGGGACCCTGCCCTCTGGTGGCCTCCTCCTGCAGAAGGCCTCTCACCTCAAGCCTAACCTGCTCCAGGGCTCATGCCCACCTGCTGGCTCCCAGCTTTTCTCTGCTTCTGCCTTTCCACGTGGCCAGCCAGCAGCTCCCATGCCCTGGGCTGGCACTGTGGCATAGCGAGTTAAGCCGCTTTTTGCAGTGCTGGTATTCACTATGGGCACAGATTTGAAACTCCAAGTATTTGACCTCCCGTGTGCAAGTGGGTAAAACTCTAGGCTCCAACCACTGTGACCATGTGACATGGACAGATGGAGAGAAGATTCTGTGTCTCTCCCCTTCACTCTAACCACCATGCAAATCAATCCTTTTTTTTTAAAGTAGCATGGAGATGGCAGGGAAGGTGTTGCAGGTCCACCCCGACTGTCCATCTCTGGCCCTTCCTGCTGGGGTCCAGGCATGCCCCCTGCCAAGCCCTGCAGGCACAGTCCTTGCATCCTTTCTGAGCCTTCACTGAGCCTACCCCACCGGCACACCTGGCCCTGTTATCTTACCTGGTCTTTTCTCCATCTGCTGTCAGTTCGTCACACCCCTATTCCCGGCCACGTGTGCAGGTCATGGGCCCTCCCACCCCCGCGGGGCCCACTCAGCACCAGCCTCCCATGTGCTCTCAGCACAGAATAGCTGTTACCAACGGGCACCCCGATCCATGGCCTGGAGACCCCACCAGGGCCAGTGCTCGATGGTGTACCCAGCTGGCCACAGCTGCTCAGCCAGCACATGTGGGACACTGTGGCCCCCGCTGCCCAGCAGCAGCGGGGTCTGTCCCCTCAGCACTCTCCTTCTGCAAGCCTGGGTCACCATGTCGGTCCTCACCTCGGCTTCCTGCTCTGTGGAACAGGAGCCCAGCCTGCCCCCACCAGCCGGGCCAGCAGGCGGCAGGGGTGGGCACGAGGCTCGGGGGCTCACACTCTTTGGCATAAAGAGCCAAACACGGCAGAGGAAGTTCCTTCACTGTGTACCTGGCAGGTCAGGGACACGCGTGGGCAGCAGGCAAGGCCCTGCAGAGCCCTTACCTGACACCGATGGTGAACATGCTGAGCAGCTGCTTCCCCTGCAGCCAGCCGAGCAGCATGATGAGACCTGCGGAGGAGACCTGCGCTCTGCCTGGTGGCTCTCGTCCCCTCAGGGACCCTCCCCACCACAGCAGAGCCCCGGTCTTGCCTCTGGAAGGACCCGCGCTGTACCCAGTGAAGCGGCGGCTGGCACAGCAGGTCACTTGCCAATGTCTGGATTTTGCACAAGCACGGCTGTCTGCAGTGCCTGGTGTGGCCAGCGACAGCGGCCAGCACACCCTTCTAGCTCGCTGTCTGAGCAGTTCACTTCTGCCTTATTGATCATTGACCAAATGTACCGCTGGCTGGAAACGCTAAGCACCACGCTGGGCCTGCTGAGCTGCCGCACACAGACCCGCCCCACAACACAGGACCGATCTGTGCCGCACAGGAGATGACCTGGGGCTGTGCGTACCAGCGAGGCCTTGGTTTGCTCCTCTGGAATGGGCATGGTGACCATACCGATAGCCACTTCCCCAATCCAGGAATGTTCACAAGGTTTAAGACAACTCACTGCTTGGCAGTAACACCCAGGCCTCAGCCAGGGCTGCCAACCTTCTTAGAAGGACAGGGGCCCGAGGCTGGCCACCTGCTGACAAGAGCCATGGCTGAGTGGGAGTGCATGCGTGTGGGAGAGGGGCATAGGGACCACCACATGTGACCTGTTGGCTTGGCTCCTGGCACATTAGGGGCACACAGATGAAATGGGCCAGAGGAGGGGGAGTAGTGAAATGCAATCTCATCGTAGGGGAATGTTAGAACAGATGAAGCTGGGCCCGGCGCTACAGCCTAGAGCCTGAAGTCCTTGCCTTGCAAGTGCTGGGATCCCATATGGGCGCTGGTTCTAGTACCAGTGGCCCCTCTTCCCATCCAGCTCCCTGCTTGTTGCCTGGGAAAGCACTCGGGGACGGCCCAAAGCCTTGGGACCCTACACCCATGTGGGAAACCCAGACGAAGCTCCTGGCTTCTTGTTTTGGCCTGGCCCAGCCACAGACATTGTAGCCATTTGAGACAAAGGTTCAAGATACCCGGATGCTCCATGACAGCGCCCCCTCCTCTGGGCAACGTATGAAGACCCTCACGCAAGGGGTCTTGCTAAGCCTCAAAGCAACCAGAGTGTGAGAAAACGTGTGCGTGGGTTCAAAACTGGCTGAGCAAATATAAGCGTCTTTGAATTCCATTTCCCTCCATGCCCTTTGAAGTCTCCTGCAGGTGCTAACTCCTCCTATCAGTTCAGGGGATCTCTCTGCTGGTGGCCCGGGCCCCCTGTAAGAGCAGAAGCCGTGCCTGGCTCACCGTGTGGCCCTAGGACTAACACAGGGTCTCGTGTGCCCAGCGTGCTCCTGGGTCCAGGCTCATGGCACAGGGTGACCTGGGGTGCAGCCACACTGCAGCAGGCAGGGGCAGCTGCATCTCCCAGGAACATTTTCTGGCTCTGGGGTGTCGGCCTGACCCCAGGATGTTGCCCCGCACCACAGCATGCCCCGTGGGCAGTGCTGTGTTGCGTTACTTAATCATTACTCCTCACGGGCCAGGCACTGAAGAACGGCAGTCAAGGTCGTGGAATCAGGCCTGGGCTTGCACAGGCGTAAAGACCTGAATTTAGATCTGCAGTGTTGCAAACGTGCTGCTGGGTATGTCACCTAAGTCCACACCAACCCAGGCATGGCCTTGACTAGAAATACAGCTGAACTACATTTCCCAGACTCCTTTGCAGTTGGGGATGCCATGTGACTCCATCTTAGCCAACAGGAAACAGGCAAAGGTAATAACTTCTGCTTCTTGGTGTGAGCTTTAAAATCTTCCCCCGTGGGCCTCCATGTTTTTGCTTTCCCACCACCCAGCCATCCAGGTGGAAGTTGCTTTACTCACCAATGATGACAAATGAGAAGATAGTCAGCTGCTTCCCCAACCTGTCCATGCTTTTCTGAAGAGGAGTCTTGGGCGTCTGGAGGGCGAGGGTGATGGTCAGACAAGGTCCCACCTGTGCCCCCTAAGCCCACAAACCCAGAACAGACACCCCCGCTAGCTCAAACCCCAGCTTGCAGAAGACCCGACCCCCGGGCTCTCACCTCCTCAGCTTGCATCATCTTAAACACTTCTCCGAATTGTGACTTCTCCCCAGTTCCGATCACAACACCCTGCTCGGACAGACAGAGGCGGCGTCCAGGCTGAGGCCAGGAGCCGGCGGGGGGCGGGTGCTGGGGCTTGTGGCCTCACCTGGCCCTTGCCGGACTGCACCAGGGTCCCCATGAAGACGATGTTGTGGAGTGAGGTGAGGTCGGCCCCGCCCGCCAAGGGGCCGTCCGTCTTGCTGCAGGGCTCACCTTCCCCCGTGAAGCTGGACTCGTCCACCAGGAGGTCGGTGACCTAGTGGAACAGGGGGCAGAGAGCATGACTGTCCCTCTGCCACAGGGCTCGGGCATCAGGAACATCCACCAGGGAACATGCTGCGAACGCGGATGCAGGATTGAGAACTGCAGTTTCCAAGGCCTCCAGGAACCAAACTCAGGAGCCAGTGTGGTAGTGCAGCATGTTAAACTACCATTGGCTGGGCCCGGTGAGGTAGCCTAGCGGCTAGAGTCCTCACCTTGTGCATTCTGGGATCCCATGGGTGCTGGTTCTAATCCTGGCTGCCCTGCTTCCCATCCAGCTCCCTGCTTGTGATCTGGGAAAGCAGTCGAGGACAGCCCAAAGCCTTGGGGCCCTGCACCCATGTGGGAGACCCAGAGGAGGCTCTGGACTCCTGGCTTTGGATCGGCTTAGCTCTGGCTGTTGTGGTTGCTTGGGGAGTGAATCATTGGGTGGAAAATCTTCCTTTCTCATCTCTTCTCCTCTCTGTATGTCTGATTTTCCAATGAAAACAAAATAAATCTTAAAAAAAAAAAAAAGCTACCTCTGGCCATACTGGCATCCCAGATGGAGTACCAGTCACTCAGCTCCCTGCTGAACTGCTCCCGCCTTGCAAATCCCGCACCAACTCCTGTCCACGCCTGCCTCCACCCAGAACAAGCTACTGGAGCTGTGGTGGTCCCAGAGCGCACCTCCCAGCACCTGTGCCTCCCCCCACCACGCCCCTGCAGCTCGACACTCCCAGCTGCCCCCTGGCCCACGTGCCTCCCTCTAGGTGGGCACAGAGAGGCACCGGAAGATAGGGAAGGTGGTTGATGGGAACTTGAGGTTCACTGTACAAAGTGCTCGGCCAGTGCCCTCCAAACCTTCCAGGTGTTCAGAGAAAGTGGAGTCAGAGAACCCCTGTGGGGGATGGGAGGGAGTGGGCAGAGGACAGTCCCTCTGCCAGGCTGGAGCAGGGAAGGCCGTGGAGGACACCCACCGGGTCCTGACCACAGTGAGGCACAGGGAGTCACGTGGTGTCCTCACTGGGTCCCACACCATGACAGGTACAGGGGCACAGGGCTTGGTGGGGGCAGGCCTGTGCCCCCTCCAGACCTGGAGTCTCTTATGTCTGAGAGTGGAAGTGGAAAGAAGGAACCCTGAGCCCCTGAATGCATCTGGCCACAGGAGGAGGGAGTGTGGGGGGACCTAAAGCACGGCTAACCCCCAGCCCCCATCATTCCACCAGCTACCCGGGCACGGGGTAGAGAACAACAGGAAACCTCTGCTCCCTGGCAACTGGGCAAAGCATAGCCTGCAGAGGCCAGAGCCTCAGGTTTGGGCCCCTCCTCCTCCGCCCGTGGCTGCAGGGAAGAACACCACAGTGCCCTTTGCTGAGATCAGACGGGGTGTTCCGCTCAGGGGTCTCAGCCCCAGGAGGAAGCAGAGGGAGGAGGGCAGGCAGCAGGGCCCACACACAGGAGGACACAGAACCACGCAGCCCAGGTGCCAAGGAGATGGCCGAAGGCCAGTGTCTTACCTCCCGTGGCCTGGCAGGCTGGCACCCAGCACCCCCTGTCCACCCTCTCCCCTCCCTGGAGGTAATATGGGACTCTGAGTTCCAGCAGCCCTGCTTTAATGCTGCTTCTATTTTTGGAAAGGCAGAGAACTTGGGCCATTGTTCTGACTCTGGGAAGAAGCAAAGAGTGTTCCCTGACCCCCACCCCCGCAGGGAGATCGGGGCAGGGGTTTTCAGAGTTCCTGTGAGGCCACTACTTCTTGAAGCCCAGGAAGTTGACAACACACATGGGCAGTCCCGCAGCCTGGCTCTGCAGCACAAGCCCACTGCGTGCGGCCAGGGAGCCGCCCGGGCCGGCGAGGACACGTGCCGCTTAACATCGCCACAATGACCCTGGAAGCTGCCCGGGACGCAGGCAGGGAAACTGAGGCTCCGAGAGGTGGTCCCCTCTGTGGCTGCACACTGGACGCCAAGGTCAGGGGCCAGCCACATACTCCCTTCCCGCCAGGCGCTCACCTCTATGAGTCGGATGTCTGCAGGGATCCGATCTCCAATGGAGAGAGCCACGAGGTCGCCAGGAACCAGCTCCCGCGCCAGCAGGTGCTGCAGCCTTCCCTCCCTGATGCTGCACCATGAGGGGAGAAAGGACATCCACTGACCACCTGAGCAAAGACCACCCCAACCGCAGGCAAACTGTGCACTTATGGGTTCATGATTTTTGAATTCACACAGCCCAGCAGACCTGGGCGGGGCAGGGGACCCCAGCCTCATCTGAAAAACAAGGTTATCACTGCACACGCAAAGCGGGGACCACATGCCTTCCGGAAGCTTCGGCAGGTTTAGATCAGTGGTTCCAAAGCCCCTCCCAGAGCTGGCAGTCCGCGGCCTGGGGGAGGAGCTGTGTGTGGGAGCCAGGGACAGAGTCCCAGTAGGGAGGTGCATTTTAAATACCCAGAAAGGCCAGTCCCCCTTGGTCGGTGGGAGAGACCATCTGCCCTCAGACCGCAGACATGGCACCGCCCCTACCCACACCAGCTGGATGTTGGCTGACCCTTGCCATTCACCTTGCTTGGGCAGCCAGGGAGCGCCTACAGCACACACACTGAGTCATGACTCCTGCCCATGGCCAACCCCCAGGCTGTCACTGTCCCTTGCGCTCTGTCCTGCTCTCAGACAGCCCAGCTCCCTCTGTGCTGCAGCCCTTGTGTGCTGGGCGGACATTCCCTCCTGCCTCCTTCACCACAGTCACTCTCGTTCAGACCTCCACCTTCTCCTCACAGTGACAGGCTCCAGGGAGCCTGGCAGAGACCGCCAGGGTGGCCCTGCCCCCTGCCTCTGGCTGTCAAATCATGCAACACGGGCTTGTGTGACGTGAGTGGACGCTTGCTGGGGGCCGTGGGAAAGGTTTCCTTACTCTGCATACACACGTACCACCTCTCCCTCTGCAGGAGCTCTGCATGTTTGGTTGGGATGCCTAGAGCATTGGCAGCCACCTTGAGGCCATGAGGGAAGCCATCTAGAGAACAAAGTCAACAAGCTGAGGATGGCACAAGTTGGGACCAGGGAGCAGATCCTTGATTCCATCTGGAAATCTGTGCTCGTTTCCCATTTTAGACCCCTTGCTACCAGACAGATTACTGCAACTACATGTTCTGTTCCTCATAGCTCAGTGTCCCAGTCAGAGACTTGCTGTTCCCACGCGGCACCTGCTCCTCCCAAGACATCAGGGTGGGGCCACTTGGTGACCACAGACTCCTCCAGCCAGGGAGCTCGGAATGCTTCCTGTCCCCATGGCCTTTCCGGGGTCCACTGACTGCCCAGAGCTTCAGGCTCTCTGTTCTTGCTTTGCAATCTGTCATCCTGTGCCCGCATCTCTGATACCCACAGACATACAGATACTTAGGCACACACACCCTGACACATGCACACATACAGTACAGAGCCATGCACACACACACAACGTATATACACAGACACACACGCCCCTCTCCAGTGTGACTGGGTGGAACTTCCTCTCCCCCCGGCTCCCCCAACCTACAGCCACCCGAGCAGTGCTAGCTCAGTAGTGTGCAGCTTGCTTCCCCATGCCACTGCCCCAGGACACACTGCCCAGGAGTCGCCGTCCCTAATCCCCAAGGGTCCTGTGGTCGCAGGGTCCTATCTGTTGCTTTACCTCGAGTTACACAGGCTAAGCACACAGACTTGGCCAATGTCAGAAGGGGTCAAGGGCGAAGTCCAGCCTTGTTTCCAAGTCATTCTGCCTTATACAAACTTGGGGTTCATTCTCTAAAAAGCCCACCTCTACCCTAGTCTGTCAGCTTCCTCTTCCCAGAGCGGTGGCCCTGGAGGGTGACCTTGGCCTGAGCTGCCCCGTCCAGGGACCACCAGGACCATGTGCCTTTTTTTTTTTCTAGCCAAGGTTTGTTAAAACGACACCAAACACAGGATTTGGGGCACAGTAGCCCAGCCACATGTGCAGCAACTGCAGCCCTGGGCAGGCCTTGTATTGGGCAGGGTGGTTCATGGCAAGTTTCCAGAAAGTTCTTTGGCTCAGTGCCATGCTGAGCAGAAGTGTCCAGGAGGCATGGGGGATGCCGGGGGAGGGGGCAGGGAGGGTTTTTTCTGCCTTGAACACCACAAGTCAGAGATGAGGGCAAGGTAGCCACGTGGGGACCTCCCTTGGCACCCACCCCTGGTCCCTGTCAGCCCTGGCCCTTCTCTGAGAAGCCAAGGACAGCTCCAGCTCCCACCCTCTGTGGCCCCCAGGAGGCCCAGAGAGGGTGAGTAGTGGCCTGAGGACTCACAGCACTGTGCTGGTCGGAGAGAGTGCAGCAGGAACCCGTCCTCCCATGGACTCAATGCCAGCCGAGCCAGCGCAACCCATGGGGCTCTGACTTACCAGTTGCATTCTGGGGGCACCAGCTTGGTCAGCTCCTCCAAAGACTTCTCTGACCTGTACTCCTGGTGGGAAGCAGAGCAGAGCCACAGCTCAAAGCTCCCATTACGCCTGCACAAGCCCCTGTAGGGACCCCCAGGGAGGGAAGCCCACCTGGACGAAGGCCACAGTGACCACGATGAGCACGGCCTGGGGACAGAGTGAGGGCAGAGCCTGTCAGGGGGTCTCTCCTTTCTCTGGGTAAGCCAGCACAGGTCAGCAGGCAGCACCTCCCTTTAGCAACCTCCTTCCCTCGATGACGTCGGGTGGTGATGCCAGCTCCAGCACTGGTGCCAGCCTCACGAACAGAGGCCGACCAGGCCCCCACCCCTGCCACCACTCACCAAGGCGATGCTGACGGCGTCCTCGTATTCCTGGGTGAGGACGCTGACCAGGGCAGAGCTCAGCAGCAGCAGGATCAGCGGGTTCTTAAACTGAAAGACGGCAAGCAGAGAGGGCTGGGTCCTCTGCCTTGCTGAGACCAGCAGGAGCCCTGCTTGTGCAGGCTGAGCCCCCAGCGCTGTGCCCACAGCAGGGAGCCACCACCCACCCTCCCGCCATTATGGCACCACACCCACCAATACACCAACACTGCCCCCGTGGCTGGGCCACCCCTTGCCACAGCTCCACATGCCCTGGGTGGAGACAGCGGGGGACGTCTTCCGCTCGTGAGCCTTTCGGATCACACACACTGCCATCATGCATGCCTAGGCAGCACCTTGTACCCCACAACAGCTTCAGGGACAGCAAGGACACCCCCTTTCCCTTAAGGACAGCTGCTCCCTGGCAGAGAGCTCATGCCCTCACTTTGTACACCTACTTCTTCACAGACACACTTCCTGGCCATCCATGTGACACACACTCAGAGCAGATCAGAGAGCAGACCTGAGGTGAGCACCACAGATGGAACAAATATATTGACAGATAAGTCACCACTGTGGGAAGTAGCCAAGGCGTAAAGGGGAAATGTGGTCAGAGGTGGGACACACGTGGCTTCCAGGGGCGTCAGGCTGGTGGGACGCACGGAGGGCCTGCCCTCCCCAGCCCTGGCATGTCTCATCTCCTTATCCTCCAGCACAGCGGGTGCCAGTCACTGCTGTGGTTCTTTAAGACCAAGCATCCCAGGGACAGTCCCTGTGACTGCCCCAACCCTGTCATGTACCTCCATTGCCTGCTGGAACAGCCTCCCCCAGGACAGGCACCGTGACTGTCCTGGGGTCACGGCCGGCAGGGGCTCAGGCATCAGAGTCCCAGATCTCCACGTCTGCCCCCAGGAGCCCTCTGGCCAGATCCTGCCTCTCCTGGGCACTGTGAGCTATCAGCAATGGCTGGGAAGCAGTGTTAGCAGGTTCTGAAGGAACTTAGGTAGGGCTAGGGGCAGAACCGCAGCCTCTGTGCCCCTTCCTGGCACCGAGCTCCAAGGAGCCAGGGAGCTGGCCGGGGCCACCTGTGTACCTGGAAGCCAATTTTGGTGCCAGAAGGCACCAGTGAGTGACACCCCCAGGGCACTGAGAACAGAGCCAGAAGGGGAGGGAGTGAGGACCACACAGAGGCCATGGGAGGGTAAGTATGGGATCCTGACCGGCCAATCAGGAAAGCAGCTGACACCGGGGGCAGGCCAGAGGCAGAGAGGCCAGGCCAGGGAGGAAGGCTGGAGAGGGGAAACCGAGGCATCACCAATGCCCAGTCCTGGGCGGATGAAGAGGTGCAGGCAGGGCCTGCAGCTGCGTCTGATTCAGTGTCCTCTTCACGCCTTCCCGTGGCTTCCAGCCACGCGACCTGCCCCCATGCACTGAGCAGCACCCCACCAGTGCCCTTGGCCTTGTGAGGAACCCCAGGGGCCTCTGGAGCAGGCCGTTCCTCTACACTCCCCAGCACAGCCACCTGCTCACCGCGGTACGCCCTGATCTGGGCTGCCAGCGAGAAGCCAGGACGCCGGCTCTGTCCAGAGTCCAGGGCAACGCAGACTGTCATGTTAGAGGGACCACACTGTGGTGGCCCTGGGGGCAGCCTCACCCTCACAGTGCGTGTCACATGCGGGCCGGCACTGTCTGCCAGGTTGGCACCTGCGCATGGCCAGGAGACATGCCTGTGCCCTCTGCTTCCTCCTCTCCAGCAGGTGAGGATCAGGTTAAGGTTACCACTTGCCAAACACGGAGAGGTGCAGGTGCGGGGCACAAGGTGAGCCCTCGCTGAGTGCAGTCGCTGGTGCTCATTGCCATGGCTGCCTGGGCGTGGCATTCCCAGCTCCTCTGGCAGGAGGCAGCCTCGTTTGTCCCTGGCATAGCTGCCCCACGCCCCTGGCAGGACCCACCCGGAACGCCCCAGTGAACATTTGAAGAACAAACACTCCCTGTGCTTCCTGGCTGAGGCTGACGACTGCAAATCACGACCCGGGGTCCTACCTGATCCAGGTATTTCTTCCACAAAGGCTCTGCATTGTCGGGGACAAACTCATTCCAGCCGTGGACCAGCCTGCGCTGCGTCACCGCCGACTCTGACAGCCCAGTGTGCAGGTCCACCTGGGGGGCAGGGTCAAGTGTCAGCTCCCGGGGAGGGGGCCAGTTGCAGATTCCTGTCCAGGCTACAGTGGCTGCTGGCATGGGCAAGGGCGCCACAGACAGGGGGCAGGGTCAAAGCCTGCAGAGGGGGCAGCAAAGGGAAGGAGCTGAGGCAGACCCCATGGGTGCCCCACAGTTATGGCTGGACGGGGGCCTGGCCTGAGGTGCCATGTGTGCTGCAGCAGTGTGGAATTTGGAGAATACAGGAACGTGTTTCCCTCCACTCGCCCTCTTTTATCTTCTTGAAAGGCATAGTTAGAGAGAGAGAGAGGAGATTCCATTCTTTGGCTCACTCCCCAAATGGTCGTAGTGGCTGAATCTGGATCCAGTCAAAGCTAGAAGCCAGAAGCTCCATCCAGGTCTCCCACATGGGTGCAGGGACCCAAGGACTCAAGCCATCCTCCGCTGCTTCCGGGCCATAAGCAGGAAGCTGGGCGGAAGGAGGAGCAGCCAGGACTCAAATGGGCACTCACACAGAATGCAGGTGCCACAGAGGGTGGCATTACCCCCTGCACCACAGTGCCGGCCCCTCTCTGAAAACACATGGGTACAGCTGCTGGGAAACACAGCCTGGCTGCTCCTCAAGAAACTAAACAGAGAGTGGCCCTGGGTCTGCACTGGCCAGGAACTCAAATTCTCTGTTTTAAAAAAAAATTCAGAAGGGGCCGGTGTTGTGGCATAGTGGGTTAAGCAGCTACCTGTGCTCCTGGGATCCCATTTGGGAGCACTGGCTCCAGTTCCAGCTGCCATGGTTCTGATCCAGCTCCTAGCTAATGTGCCTTGCAAAGAAGCAGATGAAGATACAAGCATTCAGGCTCCTCCCACCCGCCGGGTGACGCGGCTGGGGTTGCAGGTGTCTGGGTTCACCTGGCCCAGCCCTGGCTGCCACATGTGGGCCTGCTGTGGCCATTTGGGGAGTGACCTTCTCTCTCTCCACCTCCTCAACACTCTGCATTTCACATCAAAGAAACATTCACCGGATGGAGCAGGGGCTGCACTGCCCATCTCCACTGACTCCTTGACCTGTCACCCCACCTCAGGCAACAGCACACGTGTGCGTCTGGGGGGCTCCCGTAGCCTGCTTGGAAGGCCACCGTCCTGTGCGGCCCCAGGGAACACAGGGGCAGGGTGGGGGTCGCCCCCTGGGAATCAGAAACCCCCGCCCACAGGACTGCCAGCCAGCCCTGAAGCAGCGCGATTGTGGGGCTTGGTGCTGCCTCCCTTGCCATCTAAAAACCTGGTCGCAGGTGGCAACAGGCGTGAGCAGGTTCTTACGTGCAGCAGGTGGGCCAGGTCCTCTCGGTGGCATTTGCATGCTTCCCTCGGGGGCAAGGCCTCCACCGCCTTCTCCTTGTCGATGGGTTTCAGCTCGCACTGACCATCAATCTGTAGAAAGAATGGGGACAGAGTGACACTTGGTCCTCACACTCGATTCTGAAGCATGCCAGGAGGGCACTGCTGTCCGGGGTGACTGGCGCGAGCAGCCTGTAGACCCAGAGTGACCGCATGGAGCCCAGAAGCTCCTTGTGCCACTGCTGCTGTGATGGCTGGCCATGGCTCATACACACACACACACACACACACACACTGGGGGCAGTGCGGGTGGTCAAGCAGGCTGGCCGTGGCTTACACTTACACACACACACACACACACACACTGGGGGCAGTGCAGGAGCTCAGCCAGGGACAGGGCACAGACCCGTCCTGGGAGGTGGGGTGAGGCCCGGGAAGAGGAAGCCACACTAAACCCCTGGAGCTCTGTGAGGCTGAGCTAATGCAGAGTAGACCTCAGAGGAGAGAGCCCCGCATGCTTATGTGAAGCCTTTCCTGGTACTCAGCTCCCAGGACCAAGCGATAGCCATCAGCTCTTTGAAGCAGGAAGCAGGAAGGGGCACAGGTGTTGCTCAACTGCTGCCTTTGGGGGTAAGAGACAGCCTGTCCCCTCTTCCTGCTGCGGGGAGGAGTCAGATGGAACAGACACGGTCTCTGGTCCCTGGTGAAGTTACCCCGTTACCCTTTAAAATGTGCTTCTCCCCATTTCTTATTCAGCCTCCCCCTCCTGGCACCCTTGGGGGAGAACAAAGGGACAGCACCAGCATGAGTAATCACCATCTCTTAGAGTTGTCCTAACCAAGGCAAGGAGTCCTGGCCCACACAGTGCCAGGGGTATCAACATGACCCACACAGTGCCAAGGGCTGGCGCCTTAGCTTTCAGCTTATCATCAGGATGGGAGGAGAAGCCAGCAGTCTCTCCCTTTCATTCCGGGGGAGGTGGGGGGCTTTACTGCCCGTTGTGATCGCGTTTGTTTTCTTTCTGCCCTTGGGGTGACTCATGTGAACCCCCTTCCTGAGACGGTACATGAAAGACCCCATTTCCACCATTTCCTCAGGACTTTTCCCTCCTTGGAACTCCCTTCTGCCACTAAGAAGGGGACCTCTTTCCTCCCTTGGAGCGCCCTCCTGTCACTGCAGCAGGAGCCCTTTTAACCCCCTTTCCTAAATCCTGCCTTGCAAACTAGAGTGTCCTCAGGACAAGTTTTCTTTCACGTGAGAAGGAACGAGGTTGCTGCCATGTTTTACCCATGTGTCACCTTGCAACACTGCCAGCCCCCGCCCCGGGCTGGGCACCCCACCCTGTGGCCCCCATCAGTCCACTCACTCTGCTGGGAGACCCCCACACCAGTGCCGCCAGTGCCGCCAGCGCCATCAGCTGGGAGAGATAGCTTCACATGATGACAGATCTATTTTTCACGATCTGCTTCCCACGTAGCAGGTAAGGCACTGCCTCTCGCTCACAGCAGACCAAGGGCACCGCTCCGAGAGCGTGGGGCAGCCCAGCCCTCAGCGCTCAGTCACGGCGGCCCTTCCTGGACGTGGCTACACCCAACTCTGAGACAGATGCGTCCGGTATACATGCATGTTCATAAAGGTACACACATGAGCACTCGCACACGCGTGTGAGCACACATGAGATCACGTGTGGACAATGTGCTCATATAAGAACACACGTGTGAACATCTAGACACCCAAGCGCACATGTGCATGTGTGAAATCTCCCGGTGAGCCTCCAGTTGCCCTCAGGACAACCAGCCAACCCTTCCAGCTCACCGTGGCCATCCCGCCTTGCATCTGGCCTCCATTCTCTGCAGCCAGTGCCTGGGGACACAGACCCCTCTGACGGGCACCTCGGCATCTCCTGGCCCAGGAGGAAGGTTCTCACATGCTCTGCATCTCATCCTGGGCTGGGGTGCCGTGAGGGCTGCGCCCGTGGCCAGTCCAGCAGGAGTCAGGCTCAACGCCGGCTCCGCCAGGCCTCTGGTGCTATTTTGGGAGGGATGGCAGAGGGACAGTGACACTGTGTTCAGAAAGTTCTAGAGTGGGAAGATGCAGGGTACCAGGAGAGGAGACAACATGGGTACCAAGTCCCAGGAAAGAAGGGGCTTTGGGTGCAAGACAGACCCTGAACAAGACAGAGCGAGAGGAGCGACTCCACTGGGGACCAGGGCTGAATCAGGCAAGTGCCACCACTGACGCCAAGTCCAGAGGCACGGCCACAGCAGGCAGAGCCCTGCAGCCCCGACAAGCAATGGGCAGGGACCTCCCAAAGTAGCGAGGGGCTCACCCATACAGAAGGAGGAATGTCACCCACTCAGCTTGGCCTTTTAAAAAGCGGGCAGGTGTGGGTGCTCAGAGCACCAGCGAAGGCACACACCGGAGACACCCACAACCCGAGGTGGAGGTCAAGTGTGACTGCCTGCGACCCTGCTTCCCAGGAAGCAGTGGTGACTGCCCCTGGTCTTGGGTCCTTGCCACCCACAAGTGGCACCAGTTCCTGGCTCCAGGCTGCTGTAGGCCTTGAGTGAAGATCTCTATCTTTCTCAATAAGTGAATAGTGGGTGAAGCATGTAAACCAGGAGTTCCTAGAAGGGAACTCGGACCAGCAGGAAGGCAAGCATGCTCACGCATAACAAGAGATGTGGCTTCAGCCTCCTTCTTCACCTCCCTGCAGGTGAAGCTCACCTGCTTTGTAACACATAGTGCTGGCAAAGCTTGCAAACGCTCTGGGTCTAGTAACGTGCTAAGTGGCTGTAGCAGGCACCGGTTCCAGCCCGTCTGCCACTGGAATCAGCAAAATACTGGAGCCCGCGTTCACGCCCACCGAGTCAGGGCGGCTGGCTCAACAATGGGATCATTTCAGGTACAGGCTGGGCACTGTGATATTGTCAACAATTGAGAAGGCTTTTTACCCATCCAGGTGCAAGATGTTCAGATATAAAGTCCAAGGGCGTATCCAGCAAAATCTTCCAGCTGTGAACACTGAGGAGCCAGCACCAGAGCCAGCACCAGAGCCAGCAAGGCTTTCAGCTGCCACGACCCCTCCCGCTCACTGCCACCCTGAGGGTGACGGAGCTGCACACGCTGCACAGTACCTGGTGCAGGTGCAGAGCTCAGTGTAGGGGAAACCATGCATGTGCACTCTCGGGCCTGGCTCCACCTGCCCCTGCACCCATTTTACAAACAAGGACCCATCCTCACCGTCCACCATCGTCCACCATGCAGCATTCCCGGGATTTACAGAGCTCTCTGAAGATGCACAGGGCCAGCCCTGAGGCTGTGTCCAGTTGACCACAGCCATTGCTGGGCAGCCCCAGGCTGAGAAAACATGATGCAGGGGAACCTTGCAGAGGAGTTACACACTCCACCCTCAGCGGGCCAACTGTGCTGGAGAGGGGGCAGGAAAGGAAGAACCGGCCCCTGGATCCAGCAAGCAGCAGCCTGAGGACTGGCCACACGCCTAGCTCTCCGCTCTCCAAGCCGTCTGCCTTGCCCACCAGGTGCGCTCTCCCCTGCATACTGTGCCACCTTGCTACCCACTGTCTGAGTCTGTTTGGAGAGGAACTCATACGTTCTGATGGACACCCTGCACCATGACACCTTGTTCCCTGACCGACCACTCCCCCGTCTTGTCTGAATTCTGTTTAGTGCAAGGACTAGCATGTGCCCCACCCACCCTGCTCATGGAAAATGCACTCCCGATCCAGGCTATGGACGCCCCCTGTGGCAGCACAGCTTGCTGTGCCACGATGCTGGCTTCTGTTCTGCCCCGTGCTCTCCACCATGAGAGATGGTCCTGCAGGCAGAGATGGAGCAGTGTCTCAGGCTGCCCTTTCCCCGCTGGCCCCTGCCAGCTTGTGCAGTGCTAGCGGCCAGCAGGACTCTTCCCCTCGGTGTCCCAATCCCACCTTTCTTTTAGGATCCACATGAAGTTCAATACGCACCTACTGCACAACCTCCACGACCCAGGCATGGTCGCCTGCCTATCTGCCTGCCGCTCTGTCCACATCGACCCCTCCACCTGACCCCAAAGCTGAGTTGTACGTGTGGTCCAGGTAGTCAGAAAGCAGTGGGTCCCCGAGCTGAGCCCAGGGTGACAGTGGGGGGGATGGCAGCTCAAGGAAAGCCGCACACCCATGTTCCCAGGTCAGATTTGGGAACAGCCCCTTGGCTGTGCCCCACCGCGGGCTGCTGGCTTCCTCTCGCAAGGATGCCCTTGCACTGTGCGGGCATCTTCTCCCTCTGTCTTCAGCAAACAGCCCCAAGTCTCCTGACACCAGCAACATGGAGCTCAGCCAGAAGGGAGGAAGCTGGATCAGCATGCAGTGGGAAGGCCAACAAAACCACTATTCTGCTATTCAGAGGGGGCAGGGTGGCAAGACGGACGTGTGGCACAGCAGCTACGACACTTCCTGGGCTGCGCATTCCCATGGGAGTGCCTGGTAAAAGTCCTGGCTCTGCTCCAGTTTTCTGCCTCCTGCTGAGGCACACCCAGTGGGTGGCAGGAGATAGCCCAAGTGTTTGGGTGCCCATCAATCGCAGGGGAGACCCGGATGGGGGCTCCTGGTTCCTGGCTCCAGCCTGGCCCAGCTCCGGCTGGTGCAGTCATTTTGGGCACGGGCTAATGGACGGAAGGTCTCTCCATTGTCCTTTGTTTCTCTGCCTCTCAGACACCACCTCATCATCAAAAAGGGAAAGGAACAGGACGTGTAGAAAATGCACGTGAAACAGCCATGCTCATTTTAGCCGAGAGGAGAGCAGGTGGAAGGAGCAGAAAGAATTCAAGCAGATCGGTCCCTGAACTCCTGGCGGAGCTGTGTGTCCCCAGGCAAGAGCCTCAGTTCTCTGGGCCTTGACCAGCAGTCACAGGAATGCAGCCCACCCCAGGGAGCCACTGTAACAGAGTACCACCACAGAGAGGTGTCCCCCGGACATGGGGCACACACAGGACGGCCACATCACCACTCAGGAATGTCCCAGCACAGAACAGGTCATGAGCAGGTGACCCCGGCAGGTGCAACAGCATCACAGATGCTCAGGGAGGCTGGCTA